GACTGGATTTTTTTAGGGCGATACCTCCCAAGTTTGAGCCTTAACTACGTCGGCATGAGTAAAGATATCGAAAAAAGGTTACCACAACTGTATTACATAAGATGAAAATTTCTTATGATCTGGGTTTTATTGCAATCGGAGTCGCCATGGCAACGTAATGACGCCATTACGTTTTTCATTTATCCTTGTGTTTCTCTGTACCAGGAGTTTTTTGAAGAAATCGCTTAAGGGAGTATGTACCTACCATAATTGCCTCCATTATGGCAAAGTTTAAAGAAATTCTATGAGAGCGTTTTCGAAATATTTTGAAATACACTTTTAAGAATCATAAAAACAGTGAAATAGCATGCTAGCGCTCAATTCGCTAATATATTAAGAAAATGATAAGCTTTGGGAACGCGGCTTCATCTCATAGTGGATTGATTCTATTGAAAACTGCATACAAAAAAAGAGGGGAATTGCTCTGGGCGATCGCGAGTAAGAAGGATTTTATTAACTTGCATTCAGCTGCTTTTGATACAGTTTTTGGAGGTAATTTGGTCCATGCCTAACAATTTCGCATTTTTCCAAAAACCGCTCGATAAATTTTTTTATAAATTCGACAATTCCGAGATCAATCGTCAATAAATATTCCCTGCAAGTTTTAAGAACATTGAAAACAGGGAAGGCTTTTAAATAGGGCCTCAAATATAGCCAATTTTCCCCCCAGATTTTGTGTTTACAAGTGAGCGTCCTTATTATTCACTGGCATTGTTTTCAAGTTTCATATACACGTGCACATTTAGTAAAAAGATAGAATTTGCATCAAAAAGGACCCTCGGTTAAATCTTCGGGATATGCTAATTACCGGGTAAAGAGGTTAGTGATACATTATAACATCAGAGCAACTCTTTGTGAGAGTTTCTGTGATGTTAGTAAGATAATTAAGTATTGCATCCTACACGATGAGCCGAGACGTTCACCGTTTCGGCTCTCACTGCTATCTGTGACGACAAGCCAATTATCAGCATATACCGGATATTTCTTCGGAAAGTAATCGAGAGTTCTTTTTGATGCAAATTTATCTTTTTTGCTAGTTGTGCACGTGCATATGAAACTTGAAAACAATGCCAGTGAATAATGAAGACGCTCACTTGTAAACACAAAATCTGGGGGGAAAATTGGTTATGTTTGAGTCCCCATTGAAAAGCCTTCCCGGTTTTCAATGTTCTTGAAACTTGCAGGGAATATTTCTTGACGATTGATCTCAGAATTGTCGAATTTATAAAAAAATTTATCGAGCGGTTTTTGGAAAAATGCGAAATTCTTAAACATGGACCAAATTGCCTCCAAAAACTGTATCAAAAGCAGCTGAATGCAAGTTAATAAAATTCTTCTTACTCGCGATCGCCCAGAGCAATTCCCCTCTTTTTTTGTATGCAGTTTTCAATGGAATCAATCCACTATGAGATGAAGCCGCGTTCCCAAAGCTTATCATTTTCTTAATATATTAGCGAATTGAGCGGCTAGCATGCTATTTCACTGTTTTTATGATTCTTAAAAGTGTATTTCAAAATATTTCGAAAACGCTCTCATAGAATTTCTTTAAACTTTGCCATAATGGAGGCAATTATGGCAGGTACATACTCCCTTAAGCGATTTCTTCAAAAAACTCCTGGTACAGAGAAACACAAGGATAAATGAAAAACGTAATGGCATCATTACGTTGCCATGGCGACTCCGATTGCAATAAAACCCAGATCTTAACCAATTTTCATCTTTATGTAATACAATTGTGGTAACCTTTCTTCGATATCTTTACTCATGCCGACGTAGTTAATGCTCAAACTTGGGAGGTATCAACCCCAAAAAATCCAGTCGAGCCACCTTAACTCATGCTATTATTCATTCAAAATATATCAACGATTCTGATTGGCTAAAAGCGCACGCATAATTCACCATAACCAGCTACTGATGACCAAATTTGGAAGAATTTTGCGATTAATCAACCGACGTCAAAAGTGCAGCTTCCTTGCAGGTTAATGCACCGTTAAGAGAAGACCTGGGGACGAGGTTGAGTTGTTGTGGTTGTGAAAACAAAAATGGCTGACATTTTACACGTTTCAAGAGTAAGAACTAGGCTAAATAATAGCTAAAAACATGGCAAGAAGGGCAAGAAGAGAACTCGATTGGCGACATCTTCTATTTGGAGAATATTTGCCGAGCTGGACAACCCTAAACGTGCACTATCGAAGATGAACTTGACATCGATGGAGGTATTAAAGCACGCTTTAGCTATGTTTTTAAACTAGGAATTATTTCGAATGAATAACATAACAATTATTGAACTCGACTTTGGTATCATATGAAGAATTATGGAGATCTCGGAGGGTGTTATCCGTCGAGTCCGTACAACTTCCTCGATCTCCATAATTCTTCAAAAGATACTCAGCCTCATTCATTAATTGTTAATTGAACAGGAAATCTGCGCTATGCGAGACCTATCAGCTATATGCGGCGCGAGAACTTTCGCGCTCTTTTGCGCCATACCGTAAAATTCCGAAAATAAGCCCCTCCGTGTATAAGCCCCTCCAAATATAAGCCCCCCAAACCGGTAACGCAAAAAACCCTCCGTTAAATCGCCCCTCCAAATATAAGCCCCCGGGGGCTTGCACTTGGAAAATTGCCCTCAAATACAAAGTAAAACAAAGCAAAAACGGTAAATTTACTTCGATTTTGAATCGCAAATTTCCCTCCGTAGATGAGCCCCTCCGAATATAAGCCCCTCCAAAAATAAGCCCCCCAAAAAAGGCCTTTGAAAAATATAAGCCCCGGGGCTTATTTTCGGAATTTTACGGTATCTTGCTGCAGCGTCAAGGCACCCGGGCGTTATTCAACGCTTGCCAAAGGAGTCTACAGATCATTCGAAAAATGTGAAGATGTACGTAATGATAAATATAAACACGTCATTTATTATATAACGCCCAAGATTTTTAAATATTTGGTTAAATGGCGCAATCGGAAGTTTTAAATTTTGCAAATTTACATTTTAGGAAGCGTCTACTACGCCGACCGCGACCTTCCTTTAATTTGTATCGATTTGTAGCTCGAGCGAACGGACTGACCCAGTAAATGTAACATCGCACATCACAAATGATGTTCCAAACATGCTGCATCAAGAAATTCGTATGAAGACGAAAGCTCAATATGTGAAGCCTATTTTTAAGATCGAAAGGATCTGAGAGAGTAATACCTGAAAACAAAGTGCCAACTAAGCCTGATGCATAATATCACAGAAAGTACAAGTAAAACCCACATTAGCCAATCCCTCTTCCTCCCAAAAAACGTCATTACTGCAACACCTCAGAGCGGCCGAATATCGGGCGCAATCTATTCGAAAATTGCGTGCTTTTTGAACGTTGATAAACTTATACAAATACTCATTTTTATTCCAAAACATCACGAACCCTATTCACAGCCAGGAATGTAGACAATTCAACACTTTCTACTGCTTTTTCATGATCGAGAATCTTTGTTCAAGTTCCATTTGAAAGACGAAAAGTTATTTGCTTGCCTACAGAAACATCTGCTGGTAACAAAAATCTTATGTATATTCCTGCTTACAAAATATATCGACCTTCATTGCGAAGCCTTATTCCTAAAAAATAGGTCAGTACTGTTTAACTCAGTGGCAGCCCGTGTATATTGCCGCTAGAGGTAGAGACTATCGAGAAACGTCGGAGTGGCGGAGAGCGATGAGAGTCGAACTGAGAGGTGGCTGTATTCGACAGCTAACATAGAGAAGACGTGGAAATTCAAGAAATGTCTTGCTGTCAAGATTTTCTCAGATGGTTTCGCGCATTTTCACTTTGCCTACGAAACTCATTGATTTTAATATAATGTCATCTCTCAAGGGAGCAGGATAATAAAACTATGAAAGCTTCTATAATACGAGGGTAAAGGTCTTCATGGTACAAATGCAGCAATAATAATACAAGGAAAACTTTAACATCTTTGCGACATATTTACTTTTACAGCGTGGCACGTTACTACTTGTTTCGTCGTCGCTTTAATAGAATGATTAGTTGCAGGTGTACTTTGCCGGTGAAAACAGGCTCGGGCTCCGTTTCTGTGAAACTTTTTTAATTCACGAGCCTTTGAATTTTCACTGTTTATGCCGCTCATGTGACGGATCACTCCTGTATTCGAAGACCTGTTATTGAAGAGACAACAAAAGAACTGAGTCTTTTGTAATGGAAATCATCCGCTTGGCTTCCTTCTCTTTATTAATTATATATTCCCTACGCCCCCTCCTAGCCCCTTTCCCGCCCCCGACCCCCACCTCCACCGCTCCCTTGCCACTCCCCCTCAACACGAGATGATTGTTTTTGTTGCTTTGTAGTCATTAATTGAAGTGGATGTTGGCGATATTTATCGGTATATATTGGCAATCTAAAAATATATTATCGAAGTTAAGTAACAGATGAGGTTTTGTTAATTGTTGTCGCTGTGTTTTTATTGCAATAGCGCGAACTGTTCCCCAGAAACTGAGCCAAGCAGTACTCGAAGAAGGAGATTTTGATGTACAAAGTTTGAAAGGAAACAAACGATGAAAGGTTTAAAAGTACCGATCCAGGATTGGCTTTAGCATTTTGCATAGGACTGAGGTTCCTAATATAAGGCTTTAACATGTACAGAGAATGATCCTGTTCTCGAAACTACGGGCAAATACTCATTAGGCAGTGTCATCTTAGTTCTATATAGACTAAGAGGTTTTACCCTGCGAGCTAGGAGTACGTGAAAAGCTGTAAATCTAAAATTGTATTCTTGTCAAAAAGTACTATGTCAGTATATAAGGATTGTTTTAAAATGTCTTTGACTTGAGAAGGTTTTGTTGAACAAAATTAAACCTCTTTGGCGACGACGGTCACAGAACTCTTTTCGTATTTGTAATTTTATATTAGTTCAGTGGGCCACTACGTGTTTATGCACGTTTCTTATATCAGGTTCCACTTGTGCCAGCAACATTTTACGGCTCTGTGCTCTTAAGTTGAGTCCTTGGCGGTTATCTAGCAGTGTTGTGTTTTCAATTCTTTGTTGCGTTCTCTGCTCAGATTTCGCAATAATAACAAACGTGATTTTGCGGACGCTCTTTGCGTGATCGGCGACCTTTCGCAGTGTACTCCCCCCTTCTGCACGCCACGCACCTACTTTCCTCTCCCCACACAGTGAACTTTGGATTTGTACGAACAAAGAGGTTGTCTGTCCTTTTCACGGATTCATAGTTTTGTTGTTAGATTCTTCACAACAGGGAAATTAACCATGGCAAGTTGAAACGTGTAACTGATTCGGTTGTGTTCTAGAAGATGGAACTTCCCAGGAAAAACTTGTCGACTATCACAAAGCTTTGCCTGTTGTGCGCGGTCTTCGTGGCTGATGTTTGTTTTCCCATCATCGAGGCTTCAAGATCGGGTAAAAATTTATCACTTTATTTTCCTTTTATTGCCTCTTGAAAAGGTTCATAACGTAGAGGGTAATATTTTCCTTCCTTCTAGGACTTTTTTGCATAACTTAAGAATACGCAAATTAAGATTGAAAACAAATTAAGACTTAACAACTCAGAACAAATCACAAATGCACCGCTATATAATAAACGACTTTATTGTATTATGTAAGATTTAGAAAATATAAGCTTACTTTAGTGTAAGGTTACAATACGTATAAGATTTTGATGAAGGTTTGTGCGTTTGCAAATGACAGCTAATCGTTTTACGTCTGTTATAGCTTAAACATTCCCTTCAAAAGCTCAATACTATGGTACCCTAGTAAAGAAGATTCTTATCTGACGTGAAAGAGTCATTAACTAAGTTTATTTTCTTTGTCTGGGTGCGTTGTGTATCCTTTGAGCAGGGGTCAGTTTTCGAACTATGTTCTAGCGTGCGAGAGCTCAATCTCTGTCAACAACCGCCTGATTTCCAATGACGAGTATTACTGATATTCAAATAACTGGTTTCTATGATCTGGCTCAAAATGATGTCATTACTATCTGTTGTTGATGTCTGTGCTTCTATAGAGAAACCTCTATTTAGCGGAAGACTTCGGAACCTTCCCAAGTGTCCGGTTAATAGAAGGTGTCTACTTAATAGAGGTTTATTTGTAAAAATTGTGCAATGCTCGTTAATGATTAACATTCAACAGTTACTCTGTACTGTGATAAAGTTCCATGTTGTTGAGGAAGCTAAGGAAGCTGTGCTGTACTTTGTAGAAGACTTTGAGGTGAACTTTTGACAGCTAAATGTATTGATTTATCTTTATTAATCGACTAAAGTACGTACATCAAGGACGTAATCCTATGCTACTATTGTCAATTCCGTCCAGTGTCCACTTAATAGAGGTTTTTAACAATAGAAATTAGCCAAATACAATTTATTTTAGTGTCCGCTTCTGCTTAATAGAGGTGTCCGCTGAGTAAGGGTTCGTTATAAAGAAAAATATAAGGCATTACTTTCGAGACGCGGCTTAGTGTCCACGTAATAGAGGGTGTCTGCTTAATTGGGGGTCCGCTTAATAGAGGTTTCACTGTAGTTTCAAATGATTTTCACCAATCACAGATTTCCAAAGGAAAATCATGGTGACATATTTTGAAAATAGTTAATTACGCAGTCTCTTGCTATGCCCAATCACACCTCACACATCTAATTCGGACCTCTTCACGTATCCCAATCATAATAAATTTGGGGCCCATCACCCATCAGGGAAAACCCCTTTGCCACCTTGGTGTATTCAATGGAACAAAAAAGTGACTCTCTTGTGGAGATCAGGTGACCATAAGTAGGAGAATTCAATGTAATAATAAGCAATGAATTTTTGGATGAGTTAGTTATAGTTAGTTTGGTTGGGTATCAGCTCAGATTGTATGAATCTTCCCTGCCAATCATACTTGTCCAGCGTTGCTGTTCTCAGTTTTCCAATATATTGTCCTCAAGCATGATGAGACTGAGAATGATGTCAAGAGTGTAGTATTCATTCGAGGTTTCTCAATTTCTGATTGGCTTAAATTCCCCAGTCAATTCTTTGTAACCAGGTCCCATTGACCAAAAATGGAAGTCATGTGGTGATATATTAGTAAAATCAAATATATAATATTGTTAAGATATCAACAGAAAAAGGGATAGCAAGGCACAGTAGTGCTTATAGCTGTTTAGGCAGAGATGGAGAAAACAGTGGATGATTTCACATGTTTTGCAAGGAAGAAATAGCCAAACTACTGCCTAAAACTCAGCAAGCAAAAATTCCTCCCAATACATTGAAACTGCTGTTTGAAGAATATCTGCTCTACAAAATATCCCTTTATAACCTAAAACTGCTAAGGAACAGGCAAAGGTCTTGAACAGGGTTCTCATTAATTTTTAAAGTATAGACAGGTAGGATATAAAAGTAGGCGACTTGGTAACTGCAGAGTGCTGTAGGCAATTTCAGGCTTTTACTGTCTCACTTAACCTTATTTCTGCCAAAAGTAGACGGCTCAAACCTCCAAGCAGCCGGTTTTTTAGCCGGCTGCCGTCACTTAAAGAAAACCCTGATAAAGATAAGAATGTCAATAGTTTTTTAAAACTTAATATATTGCTTTCTACTAGTTATAGCTATCGCCAAGTGCTAACGAGCAAAGATTTTACCTATACATGTGCACCGTTTAATTTGTTTAGACAATGCCATGAATTACCATTACAATAAAAAATTCCAGCGGGCAAATGTGACAGCTATATATGCATATGTTGCAAATGAATCCACTCTACAATTGGTTGAAGATGGGATGAGTACGGGACTCACAAACACGCACACAGCCCGTGGATTCTCTGTTCTGTATCACGTGTTTGCTTGAAAACAATGCATTCTCTGTTCTGCATTGCATCATAAAAGTTCCCTTACACTTCCTTATGTGACATCGCTTAGAGATTCATTCTGCCTTGGAACTTTTGTGCACGGCTTTATTAGGCTGCCACCTTGCAGCCTTGCGTCTTCGCGAGACTGCTCGTTGGCAATTCATGTATTAAATATAATAATAAATTATAATGATTGAAGTCAATTAACTAGCAAAATGATTATTTATGAATGAGGGATAGGAGACCAAGGAAATTGAAAATCAACTTATGTTAAAAAATTTCACCCTTTTTAATATGTCATTTATTATATAATTGTGCTAGGTTTTGTGCATTGTGGCCCATGCAAACAGTTTTAATTTGTTTACATGACTATAACCTGCTTAATAAAGACCCAAATAGTAAAGAACTGATGCATGTAGGACTCCCTTGTAGTCCTTTATCTCACAAATATTAATTGGCCCAAATATAAAAGGGTCTGTTATTAGCAAAATGTGCATTTTTGTTTATGTTTTACTGCTCAGCATCTGTGTGCAGCATGATTTGTAACCTCTAGTTATAACTACTTTTTAGGCTGCTCTGATCCCCTTGGTATGAAAGATAGAAGAATAAAGAATTACCAGCTGAGCTCCTTTTCATATTATAAGAATGATCAGGATTGGGCAGCCAGCCAGGGAAGACTGGATAACAGCAAGGCCTGGTGCAGCAATTCAAATGACAACCGGAAAGAATACTTTGAAATTGACCTGCTTAGGGTCAGACATGTATCAGCTATGGATATGCAAGGATATCAGGGCTGGATTGGCTTATATCGTAGAAACTACTATGTAAAGACTTTCGGTCTAAACTACAGTTATGATGGGGTAACTTGGTACATTTATAGAGCCAACGATGGTACTGAATTGGTAAGTATCATAAGAACATAGCGTGATGGGCAAATTCCAACCCAAATGTGCAATTTACAGCCCTAAACAAGGCAATGAGCAGCCCTCTCTTTCAAATGTGATTCCTCAAGTTCTCATCACTCCCTTTGAATAACTATTGTTTAATTCACTGCAGTATTTGTTACTAATGCTTAATTTGGTTTTACTTTAAAATTGTCAGCAGGTCCTTGATTTAATTTTTAATTCAAGACTGTAGTGTGCTATTTTCTTTGTCCTTCGATTACAATAACATCTGCCTTGACTGATTGTTTTGATGAGCGGAAGTGAATATTATGATGAATCGGAAGTTAGAGAAAATTACTGTGGGGTAAATGTTGTGAAAAATGTTTGCAGTAATTTTTTTGCAGGACAACAGAAAAATCGCAAAAATTAGATCTTGCAAAAATTTTGTGGCACACAGTATCTCCATTCTGCATGATTTAAAATGTATTTATTTTGTGGAATAACCACCCTCCTTATACCAGTGGGTAATCTACTTGTTATATCTTTTCTATTCTGGTTTTCTAATCTTTTAGCACTAACCTTTGATTTTTTTTATTCCCATTTACTCTTATTAAGACTTTTACTGGAAATAGCAATGCTAATGATGTGAAGACTAACCAATTCAGAGACACATTTGTGACAAGATTCCTTCGAATACACCCCAAGGAATTTTATCGTGACATGTGCCTTAGATTGGAGTTCTATGGATGCAGTGACGAAGCAGGTAATTAGTGTCACCATTTTAGAAACTTAGGGCCAAATATTTAAACCTAGTTTAGCCAGTGTTTAACAAAACTGCATTCTAAGTCATTTTCAATTTGCCCACCAATTTTATCTAAACATCATTTACTGTGAGCAGTTTTATGAAAGTATATAGAGACCAAAGAAGAGATGTGGAGGTCCAAAGATTCGTTAAACTGCAGCTTAAGTTAGACTTCCTTTAAATCTTAGGTTCTTAATGTTTAATGCAACCCGTTACTACTCATTAAGACTGAGCATTTGAAAATAAATAATTTCAACTATTTAAAAAAAGTAGAGTTGGGATCAGAATCAAACCAAAAGAAATTTAAACGTTTTAACCCTTTAAGCCCTGAGAGTGTACGAGCACCAAATTTTCCTCAATATATAAAATTCGAAAATATCCATGTGTGCCCCTCCAAATTAAACAAAGTGGTAATGAGAATAAAATCGCCCCTCAAATATAAGCCCCCAGGGGCTTGCATGATCAAATACAAAAGTAAAACAAAGAAAAATTTAAATTTGATTTAAACTATTTTATTAACCGATTTTCATCCTCCATTGATAGGCCTCCTAATATAAGTTCCAAAAATCAAAGTTGAAAAAAATAACTGAGGAAAATGATTAAAAATGAGAATGTAAATGAAGAAATCTTTTATTAACCGCATCCTCCATTGTGAGGAAAATGATTAAAAGTTGCCACCTTCTGGCTGAATCACAGGAGCGCCAACGGAGCGCGTGGGTGAGCCACTAGGTGGGTCTGGGTTTTTTTTCCCCTAGAACGTGTTGAAATCTTGATGCTCTGAAAAGCCATTTCCAGTGTTCTGAGAGGACGATTTTGTCTAAAATGTTAGCTAAATTGCACAAATTGATTGTCATTTTTTGCTTATTTTTATGTGGTCATCTTTGCGTACATTAAATACTCTATTTTAATTTATATTTTGAGTGTTTTTTTTTAAAGTTTTTAATTTCCTGGACATCAATTCTAGAAGTATACTCTGTTAGGTGTTCTTGTATGAATATTGTAAGAATTATCGGAACAAAATGTCAAAATCAGGATTTTTCCCACAATATGGTCGGGATTGGGAATTTTCAAGCAAAATTGGGAGAATCCCAACAAAATTGGGATGGCTGGACAGTCTGAGTTCTACAGGAAATGAATAGGGACAACAAATGAGAATTTTAACTTTGACTTAGCTAGGTTTTAAAGGTATAAACCCTACAAAATAATATGCTCAACTATTCCACTTTATTGTTTTCAGATGACTGTACTGAATACATTACTGAGCCCAGTGGATCTATAAGAAGCCCAGGCTACCCCAACATCTATCCTCACAACAAGGACTGTTCTTGGCTTATTTCAGTTAGCAGTGGCATGTACATTGCTCTTATGTTCACACATTTTGATGTCTACCAAGGGTCAAATCCCCAAAAGTGCAGCAATGACTTTGTAGAAGTCAGAGATGGGCTTAGTGATATCTCACACAATATTGGTGGAAAGTACTGCAATGGAAACATGGCCATGTTAATATTGACCACTGGAAACCTTGCACGAGTCCATTTCCGCTCTGGTAGTGCCAGCCCCGGCTCTCATGGTGGATTTGTCTTTGAATACCTCTCAGTAAAACCAGGTATTGATAATATGCAACTTAGAGTTCAAATCAATTTTTCCATAACTGAAAGCTTATTATTACTATTGTTATATTATCCCATATAATTTTGTGCCCACTTGTACAACACCTGTTCTGTAAATATGTGGGATTACTGAAATAAGTTCCTGAGTGGACTAATATGTATTTGCTAAAGGGCTAGCTTGGGAAATTCATGACTTGCAAGCATATTCAGACCCCAAAAAGGGGCTAAAACGTCCCTTCTATACTACTTTACTAGTATAAAATACTAGGCATATCTGCTCCTTGGTAGGTTGACTGGCTCAATATCTTTCTCACATTCTTTAACTCAAACATTTTAATGCAAGCATAGAATTTTTTTTCAGGGTTAAATGATGTTTTTGCTGCTAAAGCATGCTCTGGTGACATGTTAGCACTGAATTGCTCAAGTTATGATTATACAATCAATATTGTTCTCGCTTGGTACCAGACATCTCATAGCTGTGCACAAAACCTCAGTACAGAAGTATCTTCATGTCGTCCATTTGATGCCAAGGAAACAATTGTAACACACTGTCAGGACTACAAGGAATGTCACATTACTTTGAGCGAATCTTTATTTAATTATACCTGTGGTTTTGAAAGACCTCAACTGAAAGTTTTCTATCAGTGTACAAGCAAAAATCTTAAAAGTAAGTATGGAACCCTGTTGTATGACCTCGCGGTTAATACATCCACACCTTCTTACATTCACTTTTCTTTTTGTGTGTGTACAAGAGTTTGCTAATCCTTATTCTACTTCCCTATTAATGTGGCCACCCCTTTTTTTAACTAATTAATTTACCCTATGACAACCTTTTTGCCAACTTTCTTCAATGATTATTTTATGATGTCACTGTGGAGACCATTTGAATGCAGAGTGAAACAGTTATGGCAAGTGAGACAATCAATTAATCTGCTATTTGAGTGATGTAGCGAGCTTCAAGCATTGTTAAAAGTTGTAAGAAGTGCATTCCCAATTACGTTTTGAAAGTGTTAATTATTTCTGTCATCAACAGTTTGGAAAGGCTTTGTTTCATAATGTTATCCCACCCTGGCCACGCTATTAATATAACCAGTCGGGGAGAACAATATTGTCCGAAAGTTTTCACAAATTTGTTTGTAACAAATTAATAGGGTTTTCAGTGATAAGAAGTAATTGTCTCAGGGCACTTGTTAATGGTCAAAACTGGCTGAGTGGTCACAGCAGTCTTTTGAAAATGAAACAGGCTTTTTTGGTTAGACTGTTTTTTTAAGTACATGTAATCCTTTCACTGCCTTTTGTCTTATTCTCTTTATGACTGAACTGGTTTTGGCCAGCCATTTCTGGTTAATGGGGAGTGCCCTAACTTTACTTAGTAGCAATACTGAGCCCCATCACTTCAACACAACACAAGTTTAATCATACTTTTTTGTCATTTATTTTCTCTTACTAGCACGAGCGCCGACACCTCCACCAACACAACCAACCACTAAAGCACCATCAACAACCACACCTTCTACCACTAGTCCCCCCATACCATCACAATCATTGATAGGTCATAATACCAGCTCTTCAACCCCTGTTTCATCAACAGACCTTACAACCACAATCCCTCCATCACAGGCAGTCTTTTCTGTTAGCACTGATATTCCTCCTACAACAAAACGTACGACATCTTCTCCGGTGGTGGTTGGAAAGGAGGCTCAGATGGGAGGTGGAGTGGCGTCTGGAAGATTGGTTGCCATTATTGTGGTAGTGATTGCAGTGATTGTTGTTACAATCCTGATTCTCCTTTGCCTTGTTCACAAGAAGAGGTAAGAGAAGTATTAAGAAGATGAGTTTTTATGTTCAGTTTGAGAAGGCAGCATTGCTGAGTGTGGTCACTGCATTGGATTCGCAGTCTGGTAGTCTCAGTTTCATGTCCAGCTCCCACCACACTCACTTCATTTTTTAGCTTCTTCAAATCCTTGGATGTGATTGTTATTAACAAGCAGTTCTTTGCCAGCTACTGCCAGTTGGGTTTTTGTCCTCTTACCTATTTTTGTATTATTTACTTGGAATTGTTTGAGTGAAGTGCCTGAAAATAGCGTCGAGTAGCTAAGTGCACTTCAACTAGAAACAAGTCATTTATGTTTCTACATTCACTTGCATGAATAGGAGTGCAGAAATTCTGAATGGAAAAGAAATGGTTCGTGCCTTGTGAAAATGAACTTCAGCTTTCATCAAGAGTTAAGCCCAGAAATTCTGTATGTGCACATCTACTCCCTTGCTAGCCATTCTAAACACAAGATGTTAAATAACCATTTTTCTCCAAAAACTGGTGTCTAGGGAAAATTCAGACCCGTTCTGGCTAAAACTTTGTCTCTCATTTGAGACATTACATTCTTTATTGTTCTTAGTTTTTTTCAGCAGTCCTTTTTGCCACCCATTCACTGGTAACTTTCCACCCAATGTCGTTAAAATTAATTGTCACACATTTTCAGGCCCACGATTCTAAACCAGACCATTTTTTGTTCATGTTGCTTAAGCACCGCTGATAGGCAGAGACGTTTTTAAGAAATGAAGAACAGCTGAGCTGCGACATGCAGTGTTGATGAAATTACCTTAATGAAGACATTAATTCTATAAACCTGCAGAAAAAATAAAGGAAAAGGAAGTCATATGCAAATAGTGACATACAGTCCAGAGAGGGAATATAGCTCGCCAAATACAGGGAAGGCAGTGAAATGCAGCCATGCTGACAATAGAGAATACTGCTTACCAGACAATAATACAAGAACACCATACAGTCCGGACAGAGAATATTGCTTACCAAATAATACTACAGCGAATAGGTTGGTTGAAATTCTTTCTTTAGGGAAAAATCTGTTGAATTTACTGAGATACTAGGATTACGAAAAGTTCAATTTGAGGGGTATGCTGTAGAGGTAGATTCACATTGACGGTGTTAGCTGCAACTTTCAACTCAAGTCTGCAGATTCAACTCAAGTCATTTTTGCAGATTGTAAAATTTTCAAAGCCCCAAAAACGTTTTGATGGTTCAAAATTTTGAATGGCTTGGTCGACGATAGCAAAATTCATCCAAACTTATTCAAGATTGGATTCAGAATTTTGAAAAATCGCTCATTCAAAACTTATTAGGGTAAAAATGCTCTCAAAAACTTAAAGGGAAAACATGGTGCGGCAAGATAAAGTTAATGCCCGCTCGCTTCACACGCATTGACTCAAGAGTATAAAGTAACTGTTGGATTGAATAGTGTGATATAGAACCACATTTACGGTAAACGTCAGATTAAGTTTGACAGTGTCTGCTCGAAACAGGAAGTCCCCAATGGTGCATAACCCTAACCCCAAACAATACTTCAACAATTGAAAGAATAACATGTCATTGTTTTCTGCTACCAATCAGGAGAGACCTTACGAGCAGCTCCCACACAACCGCCTAAAATAAACAGACAATTACTTTGCCAAATAATTCTAAGGGATGAATGGGACAACAAAATTACTTATTTTTGTGCGGAACTCAGAAACCAAGAATACGTGAAAATTAAAGAGTATCTCCCTTGCTGATTGTTTCTCTTAAGGCTGTTTTCTAACTCTCACTAACTTCCCTTGTTCGCTAGGTGTCCTCTAGATTACAGTGGAAGCAGAAAAGGAAACGCTTATGAAACTATGAATATCTTGTACCTAAGGTAAATTTTCATTCATCTCTTACACTCCAGTTTTTATACTCGCAAGGATTTTTTTTTTGCTGAGGACGAAGATGAGGGTGTGGATGATGATGATGATGATGATGATGATGAACGGAATAAAAGCTGGCTCATGGCGACTAACCTTTGCCTCTCGGCATCTAGGAAATATCTAGCTTTTACACTTGCCACTTGTATTTCGGAGGTTTAGAGGCTATGCTGTCCCTGAAGGGTTTTCTTAGAGCACAGCTTTGTTTTTTGTTCTCCGCATGTCAAATGGTTACTGCATCGGACTGAGGATCAAGAGGTCCGTGTTCAGGCCCTGCCAGGGTCACTGTGTTGTGTTCTTGGCCAAGACACTTTATTCTCCTCTCGCAGGGCCTGATCGCTCTACCCAGGTTTTTAAATGGATACAGGCCGAATTGATGTTGGGGTGGGTATAAACCTGTAATGGAGATATTCGTAGTCGCTTCGTGCTAAAGAAACTGGGTGAATCTCCAGCGTGATGAGCCATTTGGCTTAAAAGCAGACTTACTCTCACCAGTGGACGGCTGAAATAATGACTACCATTGCTATCTTTTTTGATGTTTCTAGTACTGATAACGTCACTGAATCGAACGATCGTGGGACTGAAGACGTCAAAGCGTATGCAAGGTATTTGTTCATTGCCACCCTTAAAAGTTACCATTTTTTTGTGTTCGTCACACAGTGCGTTTTAGGCATCGCTAATCCATTGCGGTATGCAGGACGCGTGTCATACATCTACCTAGTAAGGAGCTTTGTTGTCCACGGGTCTCTTCGTAACCGAGTGAATAGAGTGCTAACCCAGCAGTCAAAGATTTGAACGCTGACAGGGACTGACTTAATCTCAGGATATTCTTCTTCGTCCAATGATTGCCACATGATGATCCTTCTAATTTTCCCTAGACCTGTTCAGTTTGTATACCTTAATTCTACACGTTGAACTTTGTTATTTAACCAGTTTAATTTCATCTTACATTGTAGCTGTTCTGTGGCTCCAACTTCACCGAAAGTGACGGAAAACCCTCTTTACAAAACGTAAGCTTTGGTCTCTTTAAGCCCTTGTTTACTAATTATTACGGATAAAACTAAAAAATACCCTGTTTTTATATGTAATTTAATGGCAAATCAAGTACATTTTCGTATGGGAGATCCTAACTTGTGCAAACTGCTGAGACTTCACATCTAGTATTTTCCACCCTTTTGTTCCCCATACATTTTTTGTAAACGTCAACTCTGCAGACCCTTAACGTCATGAGACGTACAGTTCAGTGAGCACAAGTGATATTTTTGTAAGTTACTTTGACTTACATGTCATTAATCTTTAATCTTTAATCACAGTTCGTAACCATACATAACTGATACAAATGAACTAATACTAACATATACAATCGAACAAAAACAAAAAAAATGGTTAACAGGACGGTAGTAGGGGGAAACCAAATTCCCATGCTAAGACATACCTTCCAAAAAAGAAAAAAGAAAAAAAATAAAAAAACAAATTAATTAATATATAAACATATATTAAAAGACTATAAATTAGACTATAAATTATAAACCTAGATGCCTAATAATAATGCATAAACTTATATTAAAGACACTATGCCTAATATTTTAAGGTAAATTATGAGCGAAGGTACTTAATCAGTGAAACTTTAAAACTTTTTTTTGATGCAGTAACTATAAACAAGTTATTTCTTTTATTGAGTCAGATGCAGTAAATGATGGAATTATATACAATGGTATTGTTATCTCTAGTAGCTGTGTTTTTATATTTGTAATCTCTATTTAATGTTTTTTTCCAGAGTTGCTCCTCCATTCAGTGGTCCAAAACCCTCTACACAAAGATATGAATTGTAAGTATTCTCAGATTAAAGAAGAGAGTTGTTAGTTTTATTACATTGCGCCAGTGGATGCAGGATGTCGGGGTGTTTTGGACACCCCAATTGATGGACGAAGGTTTGAAGCGCGGCTAAGGAAGGAAGTAATCTTACTTCGTTTTGTCACCGTCAACAAATGACATGTATTAGTAGTATAGCGGGGGTAAAATTAACCGTTTTAGTAGATCTTCCAATTCCTTGTTGGTGGAGTACTCCCGGTTCTGACCGCATGAGTGTAAATAGATTTAAAACCGTGTAAACGCATACAAACATCCGTCTATGGTTTCCGTCTACCTGTCAACGGCAGTTAATTAATTGAAACTTTGGCAAGCACGGTACTTAGACTGTCCTGGGTAGATGAGTCATCAGTTGTAAACGGAAAAATATCAATCACGCTTGAACATGCAGCCGGCTGTAATGTTTTACAGGCTTTGGCATGGTTAGGTCAGTCGGTAGAGAGCTTGACTGTAGAACGAAAGGTCACGGATTCGATCCCCGGGAAGAGAGGGCGTAAAACAAGATGGATGCATTCTTAGCGATGCACATTATTTCTTTTACAAGATTTTCAGTTTGACAGTTTTATAATAGACCTCTGAGCTTGAACGTTTGTTTCCTCAATGTAGGTCACGTAGTGCCCTCACGGGAATTTTTCCTTTGTCTTTTTTTTACGTAAATAAGCACATGAATGGCTATTGCGCAACTTCTAATCTTGGGTATCGTATGGTACTAAGGGTAACCTTTAACAAGTTTGGGCTTTTTGTCACTCGCTTGCCTTTTTAGCGTCATCTTGAATTACATCATGGGCAGACCATGGTCACGTGCTAGGCAACGAAAAAAGCTCCGTAACACCCGAGATATTGTTGATAAATGGATAATCCAACCGACCGGTGTGGGTAACAAATAAAAACAGAGTTCTGAACTGTTTGTTGACGTTTTACTACTCGCTGGGCTTTGCAAACAATTTGTTTCATGTAAGAATGATGTAGCTTGTTTACTGATGTTTGCGTGACACATTTCGCGTTATTGGTCAATCTCGACTCAGAGCTCTTCTGCGCACAAAGAGAGTTTTCATCGGCTCGCGCATGCGTCGGGGCTGACATAGCCCCTTTAAAATGTCCACGGATATAAATTTTCCCCATGGAGATATCATCGACTTTACTCTGTGGCATTTTCGTCCACGTCCAATCAAAAGATATTCTTACTTCAAACACACTTTGTGATGTACGATTACTACTAGTTCAAGACCTACATTGGGAAAACTTGACTTACAAGATAAAGAGGTCTATTAGATAAAGAAAGTATTGGTACTAAAAACACGGGAAGTCTCTCCTTTAACAACACTTTAATCATGACTGTATTTTATTTACACTTGTAGGGTGAAGCCATCCTCTGATGAAGAAGCAAGGTAAGATCAAGATCTTTTACGTTTACTTGATCCACCTCAGTAGCATGAAGAGCACCCCTCATTCTCGACTAGCCCGACATTTTTTGTGTAATTTAGGGGCGTTTCACGCTGTTCACACCACTGCACTCTTCAACATCACTCATTCTCAGTACTTTAATGGGCGTTGTGCCTTTCTGGTGAGTTTGCGTCTGACTTGCCTTTCATCAGTAGTATGTGATTTTTTGACGGGGATTTGCTATCTTTAGTCCCCCAGATAGCCCTCTTCCCGAAGTCAGATCCATTCAAAACCCAAACTACGAAAATACGCTCCCACTTATGGTAAGTTTCATTTCATATTTTCCTTTTTGTTTTCAATTCCTCATGTTTCTGCCTTGTGAAGAACCTATTCCAGTGGTACTTTTATCATGGCAATTCTTGTAAAACGTTGGTGCAATTCTCAGCATGCATCATTTCTCTTCGACGAACGGCGCTTCCGACGTCGATAAGTAGACTAACATGAAACTAACAGTGGATGTTTAAAGTACCTTTCTGTGATTGTCAGTTGAGTAAGGCGTGATGGACAGGTTCAACTGAGATTTCTCATTTGAAACTTTTGGAACAATTTTTTCGCGCTCATTTTGCCTTCATAATTGATTTCTCAGCCACGTTATCATTTTTTCTAGGAGTTTCCCTTTGGCAGTTCATTTCTTCAAAATCCCGTTGACATGGATCATCTGTTAAAGCAATTACCCCCATATCTTCATTTAAATTTGTATTTCCGCAGTTTTTTTCATTCTAAGTTTCATTTCTTTCGCGGGTTAATTTGTCCCAAATTTCATTGAATTGCAATTACCACATGGATTTGAAGAAGTCCCCAAATTTTTTTCGGGTTAATTTGAAATTGCTTGAGTTGGAATTACAACTGCGACGATCAAATCTTCATTTAAATTTTGTTATATTAGCCTGCTCGTTTAAGCGCTTCCGACCCAGTAAACCTTGCTTCTCCAATATTTTAACTGAGGCTTCTTTCTTTTCACTCACCCATGAGTAGAACACTACGTAACTACTTTAATTATCATCATTTTTATCCCTTTCCTCTTGCAGACCCCTGAAAACGTCCTTCCAGATGCAAATTGCTGACCTGCAAAGCAGGAACTGTGTGAAAAGTAAGAATAAATTATTGATTGGAAAGAAAAAATCAAGGACGAAACTGAATGTTTGCGTTTGTTTGAATGTTTATGTTTGCGTGTGTATGAGGGGCCGGGGGCCGCTTTGTGGTGTGTCTTAATAAGTTAAGTTCTTCCGTGTGTTTACAGACATATTTTACATTTCCTCTTTCCGCTTGAAACGGACAAATAGAGTTCTTGATCTTGTTGCGAGGTGTTAAAATTAGGGTCAAACATGCTAAAACTACTATTACAGGCCAGTTTCGAGTTATTCAATTTCATACGTGGCTACGAGGCTGTGGGGATCGCACTGAGATTCAGGGATGAATAATTCATTTCTTTTGTTTTACTCCCCCCTCGGCCTCGGAGTCAAGTATCATTTTTGATAATCCGAAACTAGCTCATTGACACCAGTAACCCTCGTGGAACAGTGTAGTTTTCGGTGTTTTTCGTTGTCATTTATGTTATTTTTCCGGCCTATTTAAACTACAGTATGTATCCCTTTCGGGCAACAAAAGGTTTAATTACAAAATTACACCTAATTGTATTTTAAATGTTGTCTGACAAAAATGAAAAACCAAATGAGAGTTAATTAGCTTGTCATAACCAGTTGACGGATTTCTGTAATCCATCAGATACCGAACGTTAAAACTAGCGTCTCCGGTCTTCTTTACATACTTAACAATTATTCTTTGAAATCGAGGTGAATAGTGGCAAAATATTTACCTCGCCGCTTTCGCGGCTTGGTAAATATTCCCAAAGCCACTATTCACCGAGATTGAGAAGAATAATTGTTTTAGTATATACACACGAAGTGATCTCAACAAAATCAGAAAGGAAACCATTCAAAAGTAGGATTTGATTGACAGATCAAATCACGCGTAAGTTTAAAAATAGATCTTTGCAGAATTTTCAAACATGGCAATTCACAAGTTTACTCATTTCGCAAACAACAGCGTAATGGCTTCAATGGAATCGCTAAAGGTTTGAACTGTTTCCTTACCTGAGAAAAAAAGTAGAGCTGTGTTGTTTTCTGTTGACTCGCCAAGTTTATAGCCAAAAGGGCATGTTGTGTCGTTCTTCGCATGAAGTGCTGACAAAAATGGCGGCTCGGTTGCTCGAGGTAAGAGGTCGTCTTCGTCTTCCTGTATCATTCTTTTTCCTGTTTACTTGAAATGTAGAATTTCTGCAAACATTTCCTTTTAAATTTGTTTGTCATAAATAAACTTCGATTTTTGAGCCAAAATTTTCTTCTTAGAAAACGCTGAGTTCACGAAACGGCTTCTTCTACGCGAATACACGGGAGTTGTAAACAATCCATCGAGCACAAAACTCCTGCTACAGTAAATTGAAAAACGCCGTATTGAATCCTTCCAAGTCTTTTCTTGCCTTAAAAAAAGTCAGCCCTAGGATTTTGTCGACTTTTAAAAGATCGTTCTCTAAAAAAAACGGGAAAAACACCGAGCTCACACATTATCCACTCGCTAGGAGGTGAATATTGTTGAATAGTCCGAGATAGCGAACCAATCAGATTGCTTAAATCACCAAGATCACTGAGTGTGTATATACTAACATCAAATATCGCTGGAATGACGTACTCGTTTCTGTAATTTGTGAAAATAGTTTCTTCGCCTAATTAACTCATATTTGGCCCTTTTCTTCTTTCTCTGACAACGTAAGGTGTATGCTGATTTTTTGGAGTTAACCGGAGTATTACCATGAGTTGATTTATTAACAAGTCGCGTTCCTCGACTCAAAAAAGGAGCTTGCCGTTGGTTTTCCAAGACCAAAGTTTTGTATTCGATCTTTTCTGTTGACGCAGTACACAGAAAGGTTCGTTAAAGAATTACCCTTTTCGCCATTTCGACACAAACTACGTTGGTAACATCAAAATGTTCTAATGTAGAGTTTTCCAGTACCATATTTACATGGTAGTATTTCGTTCTTCCTGTCCATTTCGCGTGATAGTCAGGCAGATAGTCGGGAGGTTAAACATCACGTATACGGCAAACGACAGAGATGGCCAACCGAATGTATCTGAAAACGACACTGAATAGGTTAAATGTATTTTGTCAAGTTTTCCACGAACGTGAAAGCGCTTATTGTCTTCACGTTGTACACAGGTAGTGATATACGACAAGCGTAATAATCGATGTGAAAAATAGTCACTCACTGCTGTAAACTTGATGCTTACCCTCTCTCTTTAATATGACGAGGTTATTGCACTTTAAACTGGGTTTCAGTTATTTGTGCAAAATATTTAATCATGGTTTCCCTTTTGATTAGGCGGGTTTGGGCGAAAGGGGAAGGGGAAACTAGAATTAGCTTGGGTTGCAGATGTAACATAAAAGTGCAGTAAGTACTATAACAAAGAATTTGACAAGTTACTTCTAGTAATTCTTGAGTATTAGCTTGCAGGGTTTGGTTTGCGTTTCCGTCTCGGAGCCGCGTCTTTGAAACCAGTCCCTGAGATCATGAGAAGGCACTTACTCCACTACAGTAAAAACCCGCGACTAATGTTTTTAAGAACCTGTTGGGCTAAAATTTGCCAGTTAGACCCCCTCTATACAAGAACCTGTTTAGCCAAAAATTTGAAACAGACTTTAATTTTTTGCCGCCAAAAAGCCCGCGCTTTTCGCTACTAGTGGGCTATAACATATAGCCTAGTGGTAGCTCAACTAATCCGAACGCAGCATTGATAATAGACCGGCCACTAGTTGGATTTTACCTATAATGTATTTTTGTTTCCTCAGAAAATAGAACCTATTAACGAACTCAAATAGCCTACATTTGTGCCTAATACCATTTATGTTAGAACCTGTTTAGGCTAAATTGGGAGAATGCAGGTTCTTAGTCGCAGGTTTTTACTGTATTTCATTCACCTTTTTCTTTTGTCATTGTACTATAACTGCAACCATGTATTTATTTCAATATATTCCATCATCAAGAGTGTGTGTAGATATGCGTGTCCTGTACACAGTACAGTCTGTATAAACATTGCACGAAGTATATTTATAATTTTAAGGTGGCTCAATAGGGTTTATCAGGGTCAATATCTCCCAAGTTTGAACATAAACTACGTCGCAATTAACAAAGATTTGGAAAAATTACCACCACAGCTTTATTAGACAAAGATGAAAATTGCATTTCAAAAGCGCTTCGTTTTCCACAGATAACAGCCGAACATCAAGATTGTCCAGTTTTTACCGTATTTCTAACCATAAAAACTCCATCCATAATATCTCGATACCGCTCCCATAGATTTTGTTTAAACTTCACGAACATCGAGGCGGTTATTGATAGAAACGAACGATTTTGGAAGAACAGTTCTCAATACCGAGATGAAATAGATAATGGCGTCATTTCGTTGCCATGACAACTCTGATGTCATTGCAACCCTTATAATAACAAATTTTCATCTTTATCTAATGCAGCTGTGGTGCTAATTTTTCCAAATCTTTGTTAATGGCGACGTAGTTTATGCTTAAACTTGGGATATATTGCCCTTAAAAACCCCGATCGAGCCACCTTAAAGAGGGAGTGTGCAGTATATATCGTTAAAATACCTTCGTCCTATCCCCAAAAATTACACCTAGTGAGTGGTTACCCAGCCATCTTGCTCGCGTCATGTAGGGAGTTCAAGCAACCAGGGCGACGGAAACGGAGACGTCATTTATTAAGCCCCGTGTAAACGGACCCAACATCGTTGGATGTTACCTTTTGCCGTTTGCACACTCTGTTGTATGTTGTTGGGAGTTGTTGTGCAAAGTGTGAAATCTGTCAAACTTTTAGCCACGTGCAAACGGTCGCAACAACTCCAAACATTGTTGGGAGTTGTTGCGTCTGTTTGCACGTAGCTCAAAGTGCATTCGCGGTCTTTTAAAAGTTATGGCGGTTTTTTCAACTGGGTCAATTGGTCAAATGTAAGTTCTGCAAACATGAAAGTTTGCCTGGGCGAGTACCTTAAGCTAGAACATCAAAGTTTAACTGAAATAGAAAAAATTGTCATCTTTAATACGTCACATTAGAAAGTTCCACGTTTTAGACCCTGTTTACATGGAGTTGGGGACCCCGGTCTAGTGGGGCAGGTTTCTTTTGTTTTCACGCTCTGGCGGACAAAAAACAAAAGAAACCTACCCCACTAGGCCGGGGTCCCCCACTCGATGTAAACAGGCCCTTAGTCATGCAGTGACGACAAAGAAATGTACAAAATTGTGTGCTGCACGTGTGCTGCACGTGGAGAGTTGTTGTTTTGCTTATCAAACCAATTGCTCTTTTTTGGCGTTACCGTTTCCGTTGCCGTGGCGTGGTTGAGGTAACCTGGACAAACAACTTGTGGATTCATACGAGTGAAATGAATACACAAGACCGAAGTGCGCGTATATTTTCTGGCAATGAAATGCAACTTTAAGTTGTAGGAATGATGTAATTTATAGCGTTCACGTTTCGCAGCCAAATGTATGTATTGCATTTGTTGATAGGAAGTTTTTAATATATGAATGAATTTGTAGAAAATGTTAGTTGTAAAGGAGCTCACCAGCCAATTAAATAAACGTGTCTGTTTGTTTGGGCGAATAAGTGTTGTGTACATTATATTTTAGAAAACGAAGGAGTACTAATTTCCACCAAAATACAACTTTATTTTCTAAAATATACCCAGCTATCAGTTGTTTCTCATATTCCAAATACTTTAATGTTGAAACGAATTACGTCTAACTTCACTGAATTATTTCTTGAAAATGTATAATTGCAAAAATGGAGGCTAATTAATATTCTTATTCATTCATATGATCATTATTTTCTTGTAATTATATGATTTGCCGTCACAAACGCTATGCAGACACCTGCCCATCCAATCACGAACATGATCCACCAACGACTTCCAAATGGTGACGTGTGCTTGTTGTCATAGTAACCCGTTAGCTCTATTATCTTTTTCCTCCCACAATAAGCTAGACAGGCGGGGATTACATATTGAACCCCCGCTCCGGCGTATGAGCCCGTAACCCCTACGAGAATTTCCAAGTTCTGGGTGATGAACGCCACTGCAATCGGTAGGGTAATTGTAGCAAGGGGGAATACGATCCGGTCCACAACCCAGGGGTATGGGCTTCCCTCGCGATAGAAGAGATTCTTTAAATTGTCGCGGAGGGTTATGGAGATAATAGGAAAATTTGTGCTCAGAGTGAAGACAGGGAAGAGCGCGAGAAAGTATCCTGCGAATTTTCCACTGTTTCCCCAGAAGTTCAACGTGTAGAGATCTTTAAGTTCTTCCACTCGGAAAGCAAAGATAGCCGTGAATGACAAAAGAGAGTAAAAGACCAAGACAATAGCGAAGTCGACGAAAAATAGCTGTGTGATGCGTGACTTGTTTTTCAATGGTGTTATCAGGGAAGGAATGGAGTGCTGGCACATGTACGAATACACACAGACACCAAACAGATTAGGAAGTCCCGAGAAGTCAGCGGCTGGTGTGTTGTGTCGGGGTTTGTATTTGACGATCCTCATTATAGCAAGGACAATCATCATGATAAAGGCTGTGGAAATGAAAAGATGTTGATCAGCTATGATTTTGCTAAGGCGGAGTCACAAGTATAAAAGAGCAAGGCCTTGGTTAGCTTAACTACAACATAGGCTATTACCAACCGAATCCTTCAGGGTGTTGCTGCAGATTAAGGCTTTTGTTATTTAAACCTCACTGGGATTAACAAATTTAAATATGACAGAAAGAACGAAATGAAGTAAAAAGAAGTGCAAATTGCTGGCTATAGGGAAAACAAAAGGCTTTTATTGTCAAAATAGCGCCCACATAAAATGTTTTCAAAGAATTATTCCTCAATAGGCCATTTGCACGATGGCGTCATTTTACTACCACGACCAGAATTCTTTTCGTTTTTCCTTTCACATTTAAATTTGGTAATCCCAGCGAGGTTTAAATAACAAAAGCCCTAATTTGCACACGAAAGCAAAAACCCGAAGGATTATGGTCGTAGTAGTAAACAAATGAACTATTTTTCGTACAAATTAAAAGAAAGGTGAAAACGCCGCCTGGTCCGACATTTTAAAATATTTTTTTAAGTTTACCCGAATATAATCCGCTTTAATCTTCGACAGTTTTGCCCACCCATGCTCTGTTCCCAGTTTTTCTTTTACGCCCTTTAACGGTATCTAACAGATATTTTAAGAATTCCGTCTGTTCTACGATCAGTTGGCATTTGCTGGAATTGTCGGAAAATCGTAACGAAGCCCTTTTGCAAAACGTATTATCACGACTAGGAACCTAGATTATACAAGCATGGCAGGGAAAGACCCAGGTCAGATTGCCCGGGGCAAGTAAATTTTGATTCTGGACAAGTAAAAACAGAAGTTTGGTGGCTCAGTGGGCAAGTGAAATTAGCCTCAGTGGTCCGGTGTCTGTCTGTAAGTGTCAGCTCGGTAAAGGATAATTTCCATGAAGAAACTACTATTTTAAAACTGAAGACTGGAAGATTAGTAACACAACATTATTAATTGAAAGCATGAATTCATTTAAAATCCAAGTGTACGTCTGCTGACTCGTGTCACTCCTCTGGTCGCCAAATTGGTCAAATATATACAGCTATTTCGAGAAAGGTTGTCGGACAAAGTGCACGCGACAATCCCGAAAGGTATTATGGGTGGTTTTGAGTTCACTGTTCTTCAAAGAAATTTGAAAGAATGGTACGAGAGGCCATAGATGTGTGTATGCGAATGCTAACGGAAAACAACAACATAAGATTTGACAGCTGCAGTGTCAGGAACAGCGTATTGATCATATCCCATATTAACTTTTGGGATTGTAGCGTGCACATTTTTTTGACGACCTTTCTCGAAAAGCATTGTGTACCCCTTGGGCAAGTCATCTTCAAGTGGGGGCAAGTGTCCAGTAACATTTACTTACCCTAATGGGCAAGTGGATTTCAAGTTTTTTCCCTGCCCTGACAAGTTGTGTTGCTTTTACTTTTTACCTCTAGCACTGATGCGTTTTCACTACTATGACTGTCTTTTTCCTTGATACTTAGCCTTATCAGATACCAAGAAAAAACTTTAAAAATACTATGTACACTCATCACTAGGATTACAAGTGACCGAGTGTTACTTACCCATCCATCTCATAAAGGAAGTAAAAATCTGGAGATATTTTGTCTTTTGAACATTGAAGAATGTAAATGGTCCTAACGTGACGGCAAAAATCGCCTGTAAACAACAAAAGATAAGGGTTAGGCTTCAGTATATTTGGGTTGTGTTTTAAGGCGATGCAATTTTTCTTCTTTTTTTAGTGTGCTTAGCTGTTTTGAATATACTTCGAAGTGGGTTGCTCTTCCAGCACATCAATTTTTATAGTTTTATGCCGTTTATGCACAAGAGTTCCACCTGGGTGGTTTGTGTAAATGGTAAGCACCCCAAGTTTACAACAACAGCGACAACAACAACAAAGTAAGGCCTGTTGAAAACGACGTGCTACTGCCGAGCTAAGCTGGCTAGACTGTAGCTCGACTGCAGCACGACTTGGTTTCAGATGTCGAATTTAATTCAGTCGAATGGAACGGCTCTTGCCGAAAACAAAACAAAAATAAGGAAGCGATTTAGCAAAGTTTAAAATGTATTCTAATGTATTTATAATTTATGAATTGAGTTCGGCACGGCAGTAGCGCGACGTTTGAAACCAAGTCAAGCTTCTGCAATGTAGCACAGCAAAGCTTGCCGTGGGGGTGGGGGTGGTTATTAAATGGAATGGTCCATGATGGTGGGGTTTCAAGCCTCCTATTCTCAGACTTCTTGTGATTTTTTTAAAATTTTGGTTTTTCATCCGACCGATCAACCTAAAATCGGGAAACCCATTCAAGACTAAACGAAAACAAGGAGGATGGCCTTAAACGAAACAAAAGAAAAGACCATAAAGTTACTTACTAAGAATACTCGATAGACATTCATTTCCGTAACAGAATTCCAACAGGGTTTAGAGGCAGAGAAAGAAGTTTCATTTCCAGATAGCGATCCACTGCAAAACAGAAGTAGTGCACGGCTGATTACAAATTCGACCCTTTGTATTTGGGCATTAAGGCGGGCTTCGGTTCTATGTGTGGTAAACATGCGCGCGTTTTTAGGCGCCCTACCGACAGTCCACTGTTTTACATAACTGTGCTTATGTTTCAAAACGGCGTCTGACTGCGTGAAAGTGGTTACCCAGTGTCTGAACAAACACATTTTCAAGTTGAGGACCAGACACCAGTGCTCGGGGATCAAGTGCCAACAAAGCTATTTAAACAACCTCGCGCATTGCGCTCTCCTTCCGACAAATGAGTTAACACACTTGACAAAAAGCTGCCTCCTACATGTAGAAAACCGGGCGCATTGTCTTCACGGCGTACCAGAAAACTTACCAAGCAATTTGTGTGAGGGACTTTGGAACTGCTGCAGCATAAATTGCCAAGTCACCATAAAGGTACAGAGCAATACAGAAGTAAAAAAGGCGAACACCAACTGGCAAAACAACAACAACAATCAATGCATCATTAGAATTTAGTGTAATTACCGTCAGTGTTAAGACAAGTAAATACGATAAAATAGGCTATTTCCGAGTTGCTCCAAGCCTCTGTATCAAAGGTAAGCTAAATGCGAAACTATTAATATAAAAATGATTTTTCATTGTCATGCAAATAAATCTCATTTTCACATGAAAAGGTTTTCCATGCCATTAGCCTCGTTTTGAAAGTGAAAGCTTTTGGAACTCAGAAATGGCCTATTGATTCATCCTCAGTCTCAGTCTAAATGAAAAAGTGTATGGAGACTGGGTACAATTACGCTTATGGCCCACACGGGCCCCGCGGACTTCCAAACTCAGGTCAGACGTTCTGACTGCAGGGTTTATTCTAGAAATTGGCCAATGAGAGTCAAATGGGCCCCCTTCTGTAATTTTAGGGGGGCCTTTTTAAAAAAAAAGCGGTACAAGAAAGGGGGCACCAAATCCAAATACACTTCATGAGTGCTTTTTGAGACTTTTGACATTCTACATGGGTCGGACTCGTCGGATGCTTTGCCGCCATTTCGGAACATTCTGGGCAACTGAGAAAGCCTCGGCTCGAATTATACTGCAGAATCCCGGATGTTTGTCTGGTGAAATGATGACTCAAAAGAAGAGGAGAAAGGCAATTGCTACAGTAAGAGGCTATAAAAGTTCAAAGTAAGTTTATAGAGCGGCCGTCAAATCAGCGTTGTTCAAAAAAATAGTACTTAAGTTATCCTTGGGTCTATTTTTTTGGCGCCCCATTTGACCTGGCAACTTAAATTTTTATGCGGGATTTTTTTCCAAATTGCGGAAACCCCGCAAGGCCACGCTCTAAAAGAAACCCTGTGAGTGTCAAATGAAAGGCTGCCTGGAATGACTTCTGATACATTGCCAGTTCTCCTTCCAATTTGCTTTGTACAATAACTGGAATCAAAGGGAGATTTGGGGCCTTATAACCAAGGATTCCTTCAAATGACAGCTTATTCCTCAGAGTCGAATATATTCCTCTTTACATATTCCATTGAAAATCACAGGTAAACCCCAGCAGCGTTCTGCACTAAGACCTCTTGTGTTCCTTTTTTCGTGTACATTTAACTATCTTATTTTCACTGAAAACTTAAAGAGCTCATTCTTACTAGAGTGGAATATAGCAGTTTTGCTAGCTCACAGGCACCTGTTTTATACAAACATACCACAGTATGACAGTATCTCTGTAAGAGTGATACAATGTACTCTAGTTTAATACCGTAAAATTCCGAAAATAAGCCCCTCCATATATAAGCCCCCCAAACCGGTAACGCAAAAAACCCTCAGTTAAATCGCCCCTCCAAATAATATAAGCCTCCCGGGGGCTTGTACTTGGAAAATTGCCCTCAAATACAAAGTAAAAACAAGCAAAAACGGTAAATTTCCTTCCAACTATGTGGCTAGCCCAATCGGTTTTGAAATGCAATTTCCCTTCGTATATAAGCCCCTCTGAATATAAGCCCCTCAAAAAAGGCCTTTGAAAAATATAAGACCCGGGGCTTATTTTTGGAATTATACGGTATATTTTTGTAGATTAAAAACAATAAAAGGTACAGCTACAGACAACTTACTTTTACTGAAAAAGAGATCAGCCATCTGACCCTGCGGACAAGCATCAAGGTATATTATAACATTGACTTGAATGAAGTCACAGAATACAGTATGATTAAGAATTGGTGGTATTAAAACAGATTGAGGAAGATGTTCAGTATCCACCTAGGCTGGAGGCCAGGTATTCCTCAAAAAGCAGATACACTGTAACATCCATCCAGGGAAATTTTGCAAATTATTCCTATTTTTAGGTCAGTATTAAAAGCAGCCATTTTTTCCTACAGCTTTAACATTTTCTGCATTTTCTTGAGTTCTGCACTGCCACATACAACAGCCAATAATATTAAGCTGCTGCAGTGTGCTGTTTTACGTAACATCAATAATGGATAATTATGTTATTTGTTCCGTCCTTGATGCCAGTGATCAACTGACATCAATGATGAAATAATAACAAACATCTTTCAAATTTTGTCATTGCTAGCACTTAATTTTTCAGTTTCCTCAGAGTATCGCCCTTTTATGGAAGCTTCAAGTGTAGTATCATTTGAAAAAAATTATTATTTTCTTTTGCGAGCCACACCATTCAATATAGTCGATTAGCCAGACCTTAGGAAATGTCCTTTAATCACAAATAAATAAATAACTAAAATAATATTAATTCCACTTACCATCTCTACCTTTCTTGTTATTTCATATAAGCCGGGAGCTTGATCCTCATTTAAATTATCTTAAAGAAAATAAATAACAATTAAATAATACTGATGCATTTGTATGACAAGAACACTTCTGAACACAGGCTGAACACTTTTCAAAAGACCTAATAATTCAATAGCGTTGGAAAGTTCTGAAAGACTTGTAACAAAATGAAGGCTTTAAATCTTACTGGTATGTCAGAGATTGAATCAGCTGTGAAAAGAATAAAAAGTATTCAACTCAGGAAAGCGCCATCTAGTTAGACTTACTGATTAGTAGTGGTCGATCTTCTTCTGAGTTGGATGAAGTTTGTGGGGGAATCTACAAAATGATACAAAAAAGACAATGCCAGCCGTTAAACATCAAGGTATTTACAAAACAGATCATTGCAGACATCTAGCCGCCACATAAATTGAAGAAATTAAAGACTTCAAGTGAGATTTTACAACCATCAAGTGGTTTACAGGAGTAAATCATAACAGAAAAATTAAGCTAATTAATGGTGTATTGATCCACCCTTGAATTTGCTCAAAAGAGCAATACACTGGAACCTCTCCCTTGGGACACCTAGACTATTCAAGGGGCAGTACCTCCACTCAGGGGACACAAATTTTGGCCCTGGAAAAATGTTAACAAAATCTTTGTATTTGTTACCTCTATTGAAGGGACACATACTCTATTTCAGGGGAAAGGGACACTTTTTCTGGGACTCGAAACATGGGTTTAACCTCCATTCAGGGGACACCCTAGCACTCAATAAGTGACCACAAACATCACTGATAAGTTAAAGTGTTCACCGGTACATGTAAGTCAAAATGGCGACAGCTTTCAGAAAAATTGACCTATTTCACTGAAATCGATGTACTGCACTTGTGGAAATTTAACACAACATCGCAGAGATACATGTACAGCTGTAAGTGAATTATGATTTTTTATACATGTTGTAGTTAATTTTTTATCTCAGGAAATTTTTTCTTTTCCTTCGTTTTGGGCTATGATAATGTATGCTAATGAATTTGAAACAAAGCAAACATAAAAAGTTTCCTGGGATACAAATGTATGTAAAATATTAACTACAACATCAATTATCTAGCTGCTTTAAATAATGACAGCAGCAGCTTCTGAGGCAAAATAAAAGAAAATACTTTATTTTTTGGTTAATATTTATTATTAAATAACCCCAGCTCAACCACCATTCAGGTGACACCTCTGATCTGTTCAGGGAACACTTCCCTTGGTCCTGAGGGTGTTCCCTGAATAGAGGTTCCACTGAATACAAAATCCGCCCTCCTTCCCACTTCACCCATTCACCTCTCCACCTCTCTCTTTCACCCTCGGCTAATGCCCAAGCCATTTGCCATTTCATATTGCCCATGGCTATGCACAGTAATACATTATTTGTTTGAACTCCCCCATACAATTTTTGTTACAGTGTAAGCGTTGTTTTTTAGGGTGTCATGTATGCATTTTACATGGGTAATCACACAACAACTATTGCACATATATGATACTCACTGATAAACTCTTGTCTTCAGTTTTTAGTCTTAAAAAAGCATTAGCAGCAGCCATTGCCTCAACCATAAAAGTGGCTGTTATAAAACTGAAAAGAAAAAAAAAGCAGAAGTTTAGCTAAAATGAGCAACAGTCCCTATAATTAAAACCTTAAATTGGTTGTAATTTCCCCTGCAAAAATCCAGCAGAACTGGCCTAACTTCTAAAACACTGTTTTTTTTTATTCCCTGTAATTCAAACCAAACTTGATTTCTCCCCTGTGAAAATCAAACACAGTGACTGATTCAACCCCAGTTTTCCTTCACTTGATGTTTTGAACCAATTAAGTTCAACCCTGAACCGCCCATAAACACCTGGGGGAGCGTGCAGATTGACATCCCTAATGTACCATTTGTGATGACGTCATCAGCTTTTAACAGCCACAAGGACAAATTACTTTGTCATCAGCTACAGCTGTAACTAGTGCAGGGAGAAGAGATCTTCAAACCATGTCAGCATGAGCATGATTCATCAAGGAGACTAGAGAAATGTGAAAAACCATTAAAAAATGACCCAAAAATTCCAATGAAAATCTTGTTCCACTACGTGGGTGTACCTCCTTCCAATCTAATCCTTCAGTCCATAACCTTTCCCCAAAACTTTTCCCATGCCCAACAAAAGAAAAAACAGGGCAAGAAAAGTAAATAAAAGATTTTGCTTTCTTTGGAAGCCAATATTTAGCATCTACAAGGAAGGCCTCAAAGCACTCAACTTATGGTAAATGTTTATCTTGGGCAATTGGTTCTTTTTTGGTTTCCTGTTACCAGAAAATGGCTCAATAGCTTTGAAAGGTATTTTTTGGCAAAGTCTCGAGGAGCAAATCAACCCTACCAGTCACCAAATCATTGTGACGGCCACTTTAAAAAATTGAATGAAATATATCTAATTAAAAAAGCTGATTATATTAATATGAAACGGATTTTTACAGAAACATCTTAAATGACCAGTGCAAAGAAAACAAATGCAAGAAAACCCCCAGTATACGTCTGGCAACATGAATTAGTAAAACTGAATAATTATTTGAGGGATTTTTGGCCTATTTAGCACGTTTACAACCTACAGCACTGATGAGAAGCTTATAAAGCATAAAGGATTATTACTAGGAATTTTCACATAAGAAGACTGGGAGACTTACTTTTCCATAACTAAAAGGTGGGGAATGTTTGTTGTTTAATATCTTAGAGCTGTTGCAGGATGTTAATATTTTACAATAAAGAAAAGGTTCTATATATGGTGTATCACATGTGATTCACATGAAATCTATATATAAATTTAGAAAGACATATTTAGTCACTTTTGTTGAGACCTAGTGGTTAAGTCCCAAGAGTGACCAACACCAATTTTCTCCTCACCATATCACAAAGTAATCAACAAAAAAGGTTATGAGAGTAAATAAACTGATCACCTAAGTGAAAATGCTTTGATCTTTCTACAAATCTTCTTTAGTAGTTCTTCAAGGAAAGTTATGGAGAACAATATGGAGAATTTGTATGTTGTTCTTGTGACTTACAAGGTGAAACGCTAAAGAATCAGGTTGACAAAAAACAGGCATTTGCAGTCACTGTTCCGCCATAATGCATTTGTGTGCCATTTATAACACCCCAATAAACATAGCATAGCCATCCTCAATATTGGTATGCATCACCACAACTCGTAAATATGTCAGATGAAAGCCTGTGAGAATTAAGCTGCCACCGCATACACTGTACAGGTAGCTTTGCCGACCCTTAACCCTTTAAGCCTGAATATATATCCAGATACAAATTCTCCACACTAGTCACCATACATCAATGTAAAGAATTAGGAGAGAGAATTTGATAACACATCAAAGTATTTTTCCTGTGGTGATCATTTCATAAATTCTCATTTAATAACCTTACTTGATTATGTATTGATATTATTTGGAGAAAACTGATATTGTTCACTCTTGGAACTGGAGGGTTAACTTTGACTTTCGTGAAGTGCATGTGCAAAAGAAGATGCACTTAATATTGCTTTGTCATCCAAGTGGTAAAATTTTTGTCCTAAGAGAAAATCATCCCAAGCAAAATAATTAGGCAGGGCCCTCCCCCTCTAATTAGTCCCTGTGTCACATGAAAGTCACAATAAATTTTATCTCTTGGAATTAGGGTCTTATGGATTTTGCTCATAAAATTGAGTAGCCTGGTATTTTAATGTTGCTTGGAATCACTCAAGAAACCAAAGGGGAATTACGTATGCTCAAAATTATGCTCTGCTGGAGTTATTATGTTCCTACTAATACAAAATGCCAGACTGCTACGGAACTTTTCCCTCCTGTACCTACTAAATAAACATTCCTACATACAGCCTTACTTACAGCTGTACGATTTAAAGAAAAACACGAAAGTGCATTTCTCCAAAACTTCAATTTTGACAACATCTGATTTTAAAGCTTAAATATACTTAACTTATTAATATGCTCAAAATTATACCGGCATTAGTCCTTCAGATACTAATTGAAATGAGTGATTATAACAGCAAACATATTATTTTCTCAATAACCTTAAACCTACAAACATGTATGTTTGTTGAAGTAAAACCAAGTTAAGGAAGACTAACCTCATCAAACACAAAACGCCAGTGAGGACAACCGCAATAACCCAACCAGCACTTGCAAAAGCTTTGGGCATTGTCAAAGCTCCAACTCCAATGATTAGATTGAAAATATATACAAAAGCGACCTGGTTGCAAAAAAAGGAAAATAGAATTATTAGCTAATTTTTTACAAAGGACAAAAAGGTACAGACTGTTCTAGCATTTAATTTTGCGTCGGCGGCCGGCAGGGAAAAAGAACGCAGCTGGCTTCGATTCTATCGAAATCGAAAATCACCATTCGTTTTCTTCATTATCCAAAACTTACGTACAGAAGCAAACACTAGATCTTCAAATAAATGGAAAAAACTCCTTAAACAGGAGAAGCGAAAAACTGTCAAACGAAAACATACTAATGCAATAAAAAAATTTCCGCGTGTCTCGCTCGAAAAACGTTAAAGGGAAAAACATGTTGCGCAAAAGATTCCCCACATTGATGAAACGTTTAGCTGCCTGGAATATACTTACTGGTGTAGAATACAGGGAGCCAGTTTCGGTTTCAGCTGGCATTTTAGCTTTGAACTATTCCAGAGTGTTTACAAGTAGGAAGCGATTTTAAAAACAGCGTGAACATGACGTCCGGAGCAGTTTAAAAGTTAACTTCCGGCGGGTTAGCGCGTGACTTGACCTTGAACGTCACGACTAAAATTACTGCTTCATGTAAACTTCGTGAAACTTCAAGTTCGCATTGCTGGGGATGCGAATCAACAGTAAAACTGTTTTGGAAGGGGAAAAGGTTGTGTTAGTCCCCTACAAGAAAGAGCATGTTCCAAGGTTTGTAAATTTATTCTTGTAGTAATTTTTATGGTTTTAACTGCGTGAAGGACAAATAGGGTTGGCTTCTTAGCTTATTTAAAAACGCCCACTGCAAACAGCGCAGCAAATAAGTGAAAATGAAGATCAGCTGAAAAAACAATTTGCCACGTTATATACATTTTTAAAATTATTATTTTTCCTTTACATCTTCTGTTCTTTTTGTTGAAATTAATTTTAAATATCCTTATGTAGATACCATGACTGGATGCAATCTCCTGAGCTGCTGGAACAAACAGCATCTGAAAGGCTTACATTAGAACAAGAATATGACATGCAAAACAGCTGGTTTCAGGATGAAAACAGTAAGCCGGACTGCTGAGAACTAAACTCATACATTGTCCTTTCTGTGAATGTATCATCTCCCGGAAAGTTTCTAAAACACTGAAGCAAAACATAATTGTTATCTCCAGGAAGGAGGTTTGAAGAAAAAGGAACTATTAATTAAACCTCAAAATTTTACCTAAGTATTGAAAGCAATTGAAAGTAGCATATTGCTCAGACTCAGAAAACTAAAATCATGTGTCTACCGGAACTCGCCTCCAGCAGATCAAAGAGACGTATATCGAGTTAAACATCAAGGGCCAAAAACTTAAACGTAGTTTAGCCATGGTTTAACAGAACTGCGTTAATAATAATAATAATAACAACAATAATAATCAACTTTATTTAATGAGGGTAACACGGGACTGTACTTCAACTGAATAACTAGTGGCCGTCAAACTAAAATTATACAACAAAAATTAAGTAACCAAAAATACATATCGTTAAAGAAAAAGAACTATAAATATTCTAAGTCATTTTCAATTTGCCCAACGGTTTTATCTAAACATCATTTATTATGAACATGCATTTTTATGGAAGCATATAGAGAAGACTAGAAAAGCATTTATCTTCTTAAAACAACCCACCAAAGAAGAGATCTGGAGGTTCAAATATTCGTTAAACTGCAGCTAGAGTTAGACTTCGTTTAAATATTTGGCCCTAAGTGTTTCTTTGTATTTGGCTTAAAAAATAAATTATTATTGATGTAGTGATATTTATTGTAGAGTGTACATTTATTATCTTGGACAAAAGAAAATGGCTACAACCTGAGACGACAGAGACAGGTTTGAAAAATTTCTTGTAATACTTTTTTGAGGATGAATGCTAAAAAAAATTTCCATACTATGTGTACTATGCCTGACCCCCCCCCTCCTCCCAGGGGGTGGGGGGTACTTGACCGGTATTTGGGTAGAGGTGAGCTGCTGAGGGTTTGAAACCCTGACCATGTTTAGGACAAAAAATTCCTAAAATACAGACATGTACACTAGCTGTTTAGGACAGACTTGCGCAAAATTATATACCCTGTTTAGGACAGAAAGGATGAAAACCATACACTGTCCAGCGGCACATCCATGTATAGGTCATATAAGGGAGTATACCCTCGGACTATGGGCCAAGTGAAATTGGTAATGATTAAATAAAGTTATTTATCAAAACGATATTTTCTTGTTTGAAGAGTGCATGGCAGGTGATGTTAACCTCTTCCTTGATGACAGTCGACGGGACGTGGCAGAGATAGAGATTATGATAGCAGGTAAAAGATGTAAACTGTTAAAGGTTTCAACCCAGGAGTCATTTCTTAAGTAGGTTGAGCATGATCGTCATGGTGAACGTAGTCCTTAATAGGACTGTCGTTGACAGTGACTGATGTTTTGACAACCCATGTGGAAGTCATCTTCAGAGTCAAAGTGACCGGTATAATGTCTGTTGATGGTATTAAACTCTGGTTAGTGAACTGATTGATCAATTATGTCATGATGTTATTAGTCCTCTGTCAGTTAAGCCATGGTGTTATTGGCTATGAAGACTTGAAATGTCATTGGTACATTTCAATCCGTCTATTGCCACAATTTAACAGTTGTTTACTGTTAGTCAAATTGTTGGTTGTCCAGTCATTTTCTCATTGTTAGTTTTGCTTGAGTCCGTCAATAAGTTGTTTGTACAGTGCGAGTACTGGTTGTTGAAATGTCAGTCCCTGTCAACAACAGTCCTATGCAGGACTACATTCACCCAGACGACCATGCTCAATTACAACCCACTTATGAAAAGATATAAAGTTGTCTCTGTAGGCCATTCTTGCTGGGTCCTTATAGTACTTGTAGGCTGTGGTATTTTTGTTTGCCTGTGGCTGGTGTGGATTAATATTCTTATGAGTAGCAGTAATTATTTATTTTTAAATATAGAACCATCTTGTCGAAGAAATGGCTTTGGAAAAGAAGCTCTGCTAACTATGATGCATTATGGTACCGTATGTTGAAAAAATACCATTAGTGTAGCACATTAATGTAATAACCACAATCACAATCAAAAGTGTTGGGAAGGCCACCACCTTTTTCACTTCTTTGTTTTCTTCCTTTCCTTTTCCTTCCCCCTGTACTATTGTTTTACAACACTAAAGTGTTCTTGCCCATTTAATTGCTCTGCTCCAACATTGACTAGAGAGGATGAGGGAACAACTGATCATGAGGTATGCATTCTGCTGATGGGCCTTTTGATATAGACTTATGAACTATTAAATTTTTTCACACCTTGGCCAGCCGGCTGAGTGTAGAGTGACCTCCATTACACTTCAATGTGGGTTGACAGCCTGAATGTATGTACAAAATGTTTCCTGGACTCTCCTCTCAAACCATCTGGGTTCCACTGTTAGAATTTTGACACTCTCAATAAATCACATGGCCTTGTGTATCTGAATATGGGTGGGGGGCCACTTACATTGTATAATAAATTGTTATTATAGAACTAAAAAAGAAAGCATCTGCTGAATACCATAATTAATATATTTATTATTTTGAACATTTTTGTCTAATATTGTCTTGTCTCTTTTGGGGATTAGGTAACACCACCTTAGGAATCCAAAAATATGAAGCAAAGATTGGTTGTAGTAATGATGCAAGTTTGAGACTGTTCAACAAAATAGGATTTACAGAGGTAAATTTTGGTTAATATCTAGTGTTGAGGTCTTGCAAGGGGTAGAAGCGACGGGCAACATGACCCTGAAAACTGGTGACAATCCTCTTAGAAAGCACGGACAATCGACAGAAAAAGAGGAAAATATTGTGACAGCGACAATCCATTTTCAAGTTGTGAAAGCCACGTCTGTTCACTTTTGCATTTTGGCTGTTTCGGCAGCAAAATAACAAAGTTCTCTCTTCCATTATTTCTGAAGATTTTCTGTCAGAGTCTGCCGCTAGCTAGGGCAAGTAAGTATTAGGGCTACTTCAGGTTCAGCGGAGCCAAGATCTGGAATGCACTTTCTCTGGACCTGAGGAGCGAGCACCATATTAATAAGTTTTCGTTTGACCTAAAACGTCATTTTAGATCCAAGCCTAACTGAGCTTTCCTTACCTTTGTTATACTTAGTTGTACCATTTTTTATCTGTATTTTGTTGTGTGTGTTGTTTTTTCTTTTTCATCAGGGTCCCATTCAGACCAGCCTCGCTGAACTGGGCATCCCTGTCTAAATATTGTTTAAAATAAAAATGAATAAAAATAAGATTAACATAATATTGTTCTTGATTGGTCTCTTGAAGTAGAAAAGTTAGCATTGTGATTAATTATTGTCAGGTTCCATATCTGTGGTAAATTCCAATTTGAGTATCACAAATTGAAATTTATGCAGAAACGACAGGGACATTTTTGTCTTAGCTAAAATGCAACAGCAGCATATTTTCCCTAACCAAGCAGCAGGCAGTCTCAGAAATGCCTGACAAAGCGACAGCATACCCCCCCCCCCACCCCTTGGAAGGCCTCAATATTGCATTTTTCTTTCTTTCAGTAAAATGATATTAACTATAGTAACTAATAGTTGCTTTTGTTTAAATGTTCTTGCTCATCAGGTTTCTGTTAGTGAAGTGTTCAAAGAGGTGACGTTAGAAATGAATGTCACTGAAGCTGTTCAACAACACCTTGCACAGGCGACCAGCCACATTCACAGTCACAAATATCCGCACAGACCTGGTGACAAAACTTTGAAGTAGCACAACTTTGGTGCATGGAGTTATTGTAAAGGAACAAGCTGGTTCACTGTCCAGAATGAAGAACAGGTCAAACAAAGTGTCCTGAAAAAAGATCATGCCACAGTCAACTTGATCTCTCATGGCAACCACTTCTCTAAATGACCACCTCTCGTAAGCAACCACTTGTAAATAACCGTTTTGTTTCTAACTCAAATCCTTTTTCAAAAACTCTCTTACAAGCAACCAGTTGTCTGATTTCTTAATCAACGGTGACCACCTTTAAGGCGAATTGTACTATGTAATTAAGTGACATCTCCCTCCTAGAATTACTCGAATGTCGCACATGTTCAGTTTTTAAGATCGCTGAACCAGGTTGCTGACAAATACAGTATAATAACAGTGCATAGTGTACTTCCAGGAAAAGACGAGTATACCAATCAATGTCATTAGCGGGGTTGCAAAGAATAATCCTGTGTAGTGACATAAGTGTCTGATATTCTTGTTGACTTTTAAAAGGCTCAAAACACAAAGGCAATCGAGCATTCTAGATTTCTTCAATATGCGTTTGAATGTGACTGAGTGATTACAAAATGTAAATACTTCACAGTCTGAATTTACACTGCAAAAAAAATTTATGTGCACCAAATTTTAAACTGCATTGCACTTGTTTCAGGTGTTGAAAGTGTTGTCTATTACCCTATTTTTAGCTCAAAAGGTATTTTTTATCTAAGTTTGTTAATCAATTAAGTTTAACATTACTTTGTTATGTTTTCGGACCTTAAAGGACCACTTCCTGTAAGAGACCACTTTTCCTGCACCAAGAGTGGTCGCTTACGAGAGAGCTGACTGTATTTTGTAGGCTAATTTCACAGCAGGCTGAATATGTCTGCTTAAATCTCATAAGCAAACAATACAAGTGACCAGCAGTAGATCCAATAATTATTGTTTTGGAAGGCAGGAGGTGGGTGTTTGACTCCTGTATTAAAGGTATGGGGATGCTTATCAAAAAATCTGGGTGTCTCTAAGGTCCTATTTGACCCTAACAGACAATAAGTAACCAATTCCTGGAACTAATTAAGTGAGCGCTGTCAGTAGTGATAAAATGTGTTAATATATTACAACATTTAGTTTTCTTAGTTTGAATTACTATTTTCTTATAGACTGCCCTAAGCTTTAGCTTTCTGAACACCAGAGTAAGACACTAGTCTGCAATTAACACTCCTATCCGAGACAACAAGTATCCCCGTCTCTTTCATATGGGAGTCACCCCCCTTTCCAACTGTATAGGGCTTTGCCTGGGAAAATTTGGTTTTGGAAAGGTGGTTGCTTATGTGAGATGGTTGCACAGGCAGTTTCAAGTGTACATGTACTTTCGTGGTACAAATTCTAGTTTCAAAGCCCAGTCTAACTTCCCAAAGCAAATAATTTGTGGATCAGACATAGCTGTCCCTGACTCAAAAGAGGTGCCTTGCTTATTGGGGGTTGGATATTGAAAGAGTCAGCATTACCCATACAGTATTAATAGACCATTTTACTGTTGTGGATGGAAGCAAGGCTAAGGGTGACCTTGTTTTGATACAAACCTTCTTGCTTTATTATGTAAATCAAGTTATTCTTATGCTAACTGGTATTTTTCAAGAACAATTTCTATAACAAAGCAAAGAAGGTTTGTATCAAAACAAGGTCACCCTTAGCCTCGCTTCCATCCATAACTGTAAAATGTCCTAAATTACCTATAATATTATTAAGTTAGTAAACCTTTTGCTGTTCATTACGAGAAAATACACAATCACTCGCGTGAAACGGCGACCAATAGTCCGAAGATACATTCATTAGCGCGAAAATACGAACATTTGCGCATAAATCAGATTCAATTACGATTTTTGCATTTTAATCAACATTCAATAACACTTTTGGGCATTCATATTCGTTATTCGGCATACAAAAGAGAAAAATGTACTTTCATTAACGCCAACATCAAAGTCATTAACACCATCTTGAAAGTTTATTAAGTTTATTAAAATAGGGACAACAGACAAACATTAAAGTGCAAACACTGTTCATTAACATTTTTATGACACTGTTTGCAATTCAATAGCATTCAAGGACAACTTTACGATGGAGAAGACGCTGATAAGACAAACATAGCTAAACATTAATGCGCTTGTTCTTTACATTTCAGCTGACATTTAATTAATACACAAAAATAGATTTTCAATTAAACAATACCAGTTCAAAAACTGGCCTGAATTTTTACGCTACCTGCTTTAAAGAACCACACTGTATTGCGCCAATTTGTGTTCGTCGGCGACTGTGGCTATACATTCACCATTTGGACGGCCACTACATGTATTCATGGTAGGGCGTGACAGAGAGAGGGGGTGTAACGCCAAGTGTGCGGCCAACGAGGACGCGGCTTGACTACAGGTATATGACCATGGCAATATCACCTATCAAGCTGTTGGTGTAATGAAAGCTGCGCGTTTCGGTTTCTTCCTGGTACGAGCAAGGATAAATATGGATCCCAACAAGTAGGCCAGAGCCCTAGGAATCTCACCAGGGGAGTTCGAACGCAACAACTGCAGTGCTTGAAGCTCTGCGCAGAAACATAGACATTGTGACCGCAGCTAAATGTGCTAAGGGTTACCATTTCATAGACCTACCTGCCAAGATGTTCGAATAGAGAGGTTAATGCCCGGGGGAGGGGTACTCCCATACATTACCTATACGGGTATGTGCCGCCCAACGGGGTTGTGATTTTGAAGCTCGTGATTTAGAACGGGGTATCCATTTCAGAGGCGTTTTCTAGAACGGGGTATAACAAATTGTGGATCACGGCTTTATCTTCTGCTTAAAATTGTTGCTGATTATGAAGAAGCATTTATGTGGTGTGTAAATCGAACAAATAAAGAAATATCTTTTAAAAAAACAGGGCTATTTCACTTTACAAACTTTCTAGAACGGAGTATAAAAAATTGGCCCATTTCAAGAAAGGGGTATCAATTGTAGGGAAAATCTTTTTCGAACGGGGTGCCAATTTGGAGTCCTGGGCGGCACATACCCACCCAAAAAATACCCAAGTGTCCCCCCCCGGGGGGGTTAATGAGGGATATAATAGACTGAAATTCAGGCCAATTTTGTTTGAATGTCTATTGTTTAAATGAAAATCGATATTTGTGTATTAAATGTAAAGAACGCTCAATTGATTGTACAAGCGCATTTATGTTTGTCTTATCCATCCTAAGGTTGTCCAGGAATTGAGGCACTCTGTTCTTCAACATACCTTGCTAAATATTTACCGTGCCTTATTTATCCTGTGGTTTGATAGTTTGGGGACAGGCGTCAAAAACACTTTTAACAAAAATCTTATTGCTCCAGAATAAAGTTCTCCGTTTCATATTTTTAGCCGACAGGAAAGTTAATGCCATTCCTCTTTTGATTGATGCAAATATCCTGCCAATTAGCGTTCTCTATTTTAAGTCCGTATCGTACCTAATGCGTGATATTCATGCTAATTCTGCACCCTCAAAAATGGGTAATTTGTTCTCGCAGACGAAATCTATTCATGCATATAACACAAGATCATCCTCTAAAAATAATATGTACATCAAAACATTTAATCTTGAAAACTAAGACAAGCCGTCCCAATTTTTGGCGCTAAATTATGGAATGAGATACTAGGTAGAACGAGAGATACCGTATTTATTCGATTAACCGCCCTGGGCGCTTATTAAATTTTTGGACCTTGAGAGTGGGCGTTTATTCGAGGCTGGGCGCTTATTAAATTTTCACCATTTTCAGCAATTAGTGTAGTATTTTTATTTTGCAACAAAACAGTAAATGCCAGTAACAAAACGCGAAGAAGTAACAAAGTAAGGTTTCTGTAAAATACTCGGAAGAATACTCCTTTTTCGGGGAAGTCTCTTATTAGTACTTATTCAATTTCAATTTCAATCTCATTATCGCTCAAGTAGGTGGGATGGGGGTGGGCGCTAATTGAGTTTGATTGGGAGGGGGAGGAGGTGGGTGGGCGTTTATTCGAGGCTGGGCGCTTATTAACTTTTTCTGCCTTTAGGATGGGCACTTATTCGAGGTGTGCGCTACCTTATTATAGGAAATTAACGCTGCATGAAATTAACGCGAATCGTTAAAATTCGCGTTAATTTAAGTCGCGTTCATTTTGTTGAGCGTTAATTTCCGCGACGTTAATTTCCAGTATTTTAACCCCAATTTCGGAACCTGTCCAGACATTCTTGACACCTAAAAAACATTAACTACAACCTTTCTCTCTTTCCATTTACCCTTTATTTTTCATCTTTCACAAAAGCTAAGGCGAAGGTTTACAATATTTCGAGTTCATCTTCATCGTGGTCGCTGTAAGAAGTGAAGTCAATATCTTCTCCTTTGACTAACTGTGTCTTAATCGCGTTAATTTCCTTTATTATGAAATTCTACCCCCTCTTTCGCGTTAATTTTCTTTATTTGAAAGTCTTTTTCCATTAAATTCGCGTTAATTTAAGTCGCGTTAATTTCCAATACCTTAATTTCGTGGAGCGTTAATTTCCTATAATAAGGTAATTCGAGGTTGGGCGCTTATTCGAATAAATACGGTTTGTCAAAAAAAGGTGTTTACGGGAAAATTAATCAGTGTGCTCTTTGAAATATTAAAAGACAAAGACAACTACCTTGATGAAACCATGATAACACGAGAAATAAAATCGCGAAATCGTAAACCTCAGCTTCTTTCACAGGTTGCATTAAGGTGGCTCGACTGGATTTTTTGGGTTTGATACCTCCCAACTTTCAGCATTAACTACGTCGGCATGAGTAAAGATATGAAAAAATGGTTACCACAACTGTATCATATAAATATGAAAATTTCTTATGATCTGGGTTTTATTGCAATCGGAGTCGCCATGGCAACGTAATGACGCCATTACGTTTTTCATTTATCTTTGTGTTTCTCTGTTCCAGGAGTTTTTTGAAGAAATCGCTTAAGGGAGTATGTACCTGCTATAATTGCCTCCATCATAGCAAAGTTTGAACAAATTCTAAGAGAGCGTTTTCGAAATATTTTGAAATGTAGTTTTAAGAATAATAAAAACAGTGAAATAGCATGCTACCTACACAATTCGCTAACATTTTAAGAAAATGGTAAGCTTTGGGAACGAGGCTTCATCTCATAGTGGTTTGATTCCATTGAAAACTGCATACAAAAAAAGAGGGGAATTGCTCTGGGCGATCGCGAGTAAGAAGAATTTTATTAACTTGCATTCAGCTGCTTTTGATACAGTTTTTGGACGTAATTTGGTCCATGCTCAAAAATTTCGCATTTTTCTAAACACCGCTCGATAAATTTTTTTATAAATTCGACAATCAAGATCAATCGTCAAGATCAATCGTCAAGAAATATTCCCTGCAAGTTTCAAGAACATTGAAAATAGGGAAGGCTTTTAAATAGGGCCTCAAATATAACCAATTTTCTTCCCAGATTTTGTGTTTACAAGTGAGCGTCCTCATTATTCACTGGCATTGTTTTCAAGTTTCATATGCACGGGCACAACTAGCAAAAGATATAAATTTACATCAAAAAGAACTCTCGATTACTTTCCGAAGAAATATCCGGGATATGCTATTAATTGGCTTGTCGTCACAGATAGCAGGGAGAGCCGAAACGGTGAACGTCACGGCTCATCGTGTGGGATGGAATACTTAATCATCTTACTCGGGTTATAAAACTCTCACGAAGAGTTGCTCTGATGTTATAATGTATCATTAATCTCTTTACCCGGTAATTAGCATATCCCGGAGATTTAACCGAGGGTCCTTTTTGATGCAAATTCTATCTTTTTGCTAAATGTGCACGTGTATATGAAACTTGAAAACAATGCCAGTGAATAATGAGGACGCTCACTTGTAAAAACAAAATCTGTGGGGAAAATTGGCTATATTTGAGGCCCTATTTAAAAGCCTTCCCTGTATTCAATGTTCTTAAAACTTGCAGGGAATATTTCTTGACGATTGATCTCGGGATTGTCGAATTTATAGAAAAATTTATCGAGCGGTTTTTGGAAAAATGCGAAATTTTAGGCATGGACCAAATTACGTCCAAAAACTGTATCAAAAGCACCTAAATGCAAGTTAATAAAATTCTTCTTACTCGCGATCGCCCAGAGCAATTCCCCTCTTTTTTCGTATGCAGTTTTCAATGGAATCAAACCACTATGAGATGAAGCGTCGTTCCCAAAGCTTACCATTTTCTTTAGCGAATTGTGTAGGTAGCATGTTATTTCACTGTTTTTATTATTCTTAAAACTACATTTCAAAATATTTCGAAAACGCTCTCATAGAATTTGTTCAAACTTTGCCATAATGGAGGCAAAGATAGCGGGTACATACTCTCTTAGCGATGTCTTCAAAAAAACTCCTGGAACAGAGAAACACAAAGATAAATGAAAAACGTAATGGCGTCATTACGTTGCCATGGCGACTCCGATTGCAATAAAACCCAGAACATAAGAAATTTTCATCTTTATATGATACAGTTGCGGTAACCTTTTTTCCATATCTTTTCTCATGCCGACGTAGTTAATACTGAAAGTTGGGAGGTATCAACCCCAAAAAATCCAGTCGAGCCACCTTAAACAGATTTGTATTTCTTGCTTTTGAATTTATTACACATATTTCTTCAACCTCGTTCCCAGGGTTCCCTGGGAACGAGGTTGATATTTCTTCTTTTCTTTTTCTTTTCTTAATATCTGATTTGTAATAGAACCTCGACTAGAGTTTTTTTGCTAACTGCGTGGCAAGAAATTGTACTTGCAATATTATGATAATAAATGTGTTGTCTAATGTTTGTCTTGTCTAATGAGCATTTAATTTTGTGCCGGCCGGCAGCGAAGAAGAACGCAGCCGCCTTCGATTCTATCGAAATCGATAATCACCATTCGTTTTCTTCAGTATCCGACTGATACTTCCGTACAGAAGCAGACACTAGATCTTTAAATAAATGAAAATGAACTCCTTAAACAGGAGAAGTGAAAACTGTCAAACGAAAACATACTAGTGCAACAAAAACGTTCCGCGAGTCTCGCAAGAAAAACGTGTTGCGCAAAAGATTAGCGACATGAAAAGTTTAGCTGCCTGGAATATACTTACTGGAGCAGAATACAGGGAACCAGTTTCGGTTTCAGCTTGCATTTTAGCTTTGAACTATTCCTGAGTGTTTACAAGTAAGAACGATTTTAAAAACGAAGTGAAGGAGTTGTCCGGAGCTTTTTAACTTTCGGCGGGTTAGCGCGTGACTTGACCTTCAGCCTGTGAACCTGGCCACAGGCTAAATTCAAGATAGTCTTACTTTTGCTTCTTCACACACACAATATTAAATTTACTTTTAACAAGTGTTAGTTTGAGAGGTTCTAAAACAAGTACAAGAGTATGAATAATTTCATGCACATTTTATTGTTTTTAAAAAACAAGTCAAGGTGTACAAGTTGGTTTACAAAATATATCCAAATAAAACCACTTGTACATTACATCCATTGGATGTTGCAATGTACTTTAATTGGTTCTATTATATTTAATATTTATTGTTTCATACCAGTTATTAGAAATATAATGTAAGCTTTGAACAAAATTTCTCAGATACTGACATTAGGCTAGAAAAGTAAATTAAAAAAAAAAATAAAATGAAAATATAATATATATAAATTCCTAGAATTAAATTATTTACATGGCAGTAATAACTGTTTCAAACTATCTTATGTCAAGCCAGCTCTCTCTTAGCGTTTTTCGCTTGGCTCAAAGAAAGTCAAGCTGCAGAGAATGCTCTTACAGGCTATCTGTGATAAAGAAGTACCAGATAATTAATTCAATAACCTTAAGCTGAGGAAAGGTTTCAACTTAGTGTACACACTCAATACAAGAGGTGAATTGACACTATGAAATAAGTTGCTTGGGCAGTACAGTGATGTGCACAAGCAATATCTGCACCAACATCCCTAGGGTTACTGAAATAATATTACTAATATTAAACAATAGATCTTTCTCACCTAACATGTGTTGTGCCTGGAATAATGCTATGACACAAACGCCTTCCTCTCTTATCTCCCGCGACCAGAAAGCTGGAGTCGCGAATAAACTAATTAATGCACAGAGAAATAAACTATCTCCACGAAGGGGTATTTGAGCAATTTCTTCGCTCCTCCATTTATTCGCGAATCAGCAAATAGAGCAGCCAAACACATATAAATCTCTTGTCCTCCTCGAGAGTCATAAAAATGCTCTGGATCGACACCTTTAAATAAATACTTCCACAAGCAAATAAAGACATCTAAAAAATAATAGAGGTGGCAATTACTAAACACTAACTTCATTTATAATCTGCTTGCACCCTGAAAATTTAGTCAAAATCTCTCAATCTCGTCCACATGCATTTTACGTGATGTCATCTCACAGGAGTGAATACCCTGGATAATAACCGATCGACTGCATATTCGTCTGATCTTACAACCGACAAATTTTGACTTTTTCCCACTATTGTAAAGAACAGTGAGCTAACTCGCAAAGGCTCACTGCAATCTTAATAATAATAATAATTTGAATAATCTTGGAACCGGCCAATGAATATATCTCTCAGTTGTTTTGCTCCATGCAAGTTCTTTTAAGTCGAATCGTCATCTCTAAATGATGATCTTCTAAAGTTGCTGATGAAACTCTTCTTTTTTGCCTTCTCCATGGCTGCACGTGTTTCATTCATGGCTGAAAACGGGTTAAATATTATAAATTTTAAAAAAAACCTTTTTATCTTTTTTCTTATCTACTGCTTTCAAGTCATATGAAGAATACAGCTGTAAACTTCATGATTACCTTATCTGAGGGTCCCCAACAACCGAATGTTTGCAAATAAGCCAAAATTGTCTAAAATGGTTTTCTCTAGGCTTTCATATATAGAAGAATGTTTGCCAAATTTTGGGCTACCCTAAAAACTAACTGTCCAAAGTTTTAGGTGGCTTTTTCGTCTCATTCAAAACTGAAATGCAGATCGCCTGATGGGTGAGGACAAAAGTTTGAGGACATGGAGTATCTCCAGTTCCTTCAGTAGAAGATTCTAGGGGACATTTAATTTGTGTTTATACCAAAATTTTCAGGATAACTTATTATCCCTTTAAGCCCCAATATCCACATACAAATTCACCAAACTGATCCCTATACATTTCCTTCAAGAATAAGTTCAGAGAATGTGATAAAAGATCAAGGCATTTTCACTTTGGTGATCATTAATTACTAATTCTCATAACCTAATCTCTTGACATTGTCTGGGTATCGTTAGGAGAAAATTGACAATAGTCACTATTGGGACTTAAACGGTTAACAATACAGTCAAACCTCCATTAAGTGGCCACCCTCTATTAAGCGGCCAGTAATCAAAGCCCCAGGGTAATTGTAGAAAAAAATAGAGAAATTAAACCTCTATTACATGCTGTAACCAGCAGCCGCCACCTTTTGGCCATCCTAACGAGAGTTCTCCCATTGTTGTGACCTCTCTAAGTGGCCATCAAGCACTTGATAGACTTAATTTGGCTTCATTTTAAGAATAATGAAGGAAAATACAGTCCAAGATAGAAGGTGACGACTGGTTGTGGACCAGTAATGCTGCTCCTGTTGTGTGCTTATTTTAAGGTAAAGTGATGTTTCTGTTCAAGATTACACTAATTTATGACAAGTCTCTGTTGAGTGGCCAACCGCCATTAAGCGGCCACTTGCTGGTACCCTGAAGTTCGCTGCTAAATGGAGGTTTAACTGTAAACACAATATCTTGAGTTACATGAAAAAGTCGTTGGGTGCCCCCTAACCTTATTGTTTAATTTTGCAGTACCATAAAGAGTTTTTAATAAGTAAGATGATTAAAGTCATTCTAACCTTGTTTGTCTTCATCTGTCATTGGCTGTTCTATGACTTTTGATAAACAGTCCATCCACATCTTTCTTTCATTTTCTGTAGTTGCCATCACAACATAATCCCTTCCAGGTGTGGTTAATGTGAAGCAGTAATCTAATTCTTGATGCCTTGTGCATCCTTCATGAAGATCAAATCGTTCCGTTCGTGAACCAATGATGAGCTCTCCAAGTGCTAAGGGTGCCTAGCAAAAAATGTACAGCAGTAAATACAGTTGAAGCTCTCCTTGCCTCCATTCTCGTACGTGACCAGCTCTAGCTATGACCACCTTTGTGAAACCCCGTTTGAACTGTGACTTAAACAAAAGCTCTTGTTAATATTACCCAATTGGACTTTTCTTTTGTTTTTAAGCTCTCGTAAGCAACCACTCAAACCCGAAAAAAAAGGAACTGTGAGTTTATTGAATGGCATCAAAATCTTCTGATGTAGATCAACTCATTCTTCACACTAATATTTAAATTTGGCGTTATTTTGGTCTAAAAAACTGGATGTAAAGTTTAGCTGTGTCTATATCAGATATGAAGACACTTATTAAACATTAATTTCTTTTGGTTTTTTAAAGGAATTATTAATGAGTTTCTGTGACCACCATTTTTGTTTTACTGTTGTGTCACTTACAAGAGTTCCTTCTCGCAAGCGACCAGCAATGATATGACCACATTTTCGAATTTCTGAGGTGGTTGCTTACCAGAGCTTCGACTGTACAGAGAAAAACATGTCTGATAAAAAATGACTGCAAGAATTCCCCCTGATGCATGGTTACATGTATTTATCATTGACCCCAACAATCGCAAATTCTAGAAAATTTTGGCCTAATAATAAGTTACAAGTAAGCATTTATGGCCAGTCTTCTGGTACTTACAATGACCTATCCAAAAATCTCTTTTTCATGCCAGGAAGGGGGCAAGATAATTTATGAATTCAGAAATCAGAGATCAAATCAAGTTGGATCAAAATATCAATAGCCTTGAGATGATTTTACAGAATTTACCTACCTACCTACCTACCTAACCTGGGAGTTCTGGCACGGCACTCTCCATTAACTGCAATTTACTTTTTCACCATAAATCTTTATTTAATATTGTTACAAATTGCAATGTTACACACACACTGTATAAACAGGGAACAACTTCTTACCATTGGTTCTTTGAAATAAAGAAGTCTTCTGCCATCAAGTGTAAACCACCGTTTTGCCCATGGTTCATCCTTTATGTACAGAATACAAAAAAGAGCAAAAGAATGCAAGAGATTAATTATACTAGGTATTATGCCAAGTATTTAACCCATTTGCCCCTGAACCGCCCGTAACCGCCCGTGCGGATCCAGGTCCTTTCTACCCATTGTGACGTCATCAGTTTTAACGGTCAAGGACAACTTTCTTCGCTAACTTGTGCAGAGTGAAGAGATCTTTCAAACCATACCAGAATGAGCACAATTCAGTCAAGGACACCAGAGAAACAAGCAAAAAACCATGTGACATTGACCTGAAAATCTTCATGAAAATCTTGTTCCATTGCCCACCTACCTTTCCTTTCACCTAATCCTAAGATCCTAAAAGCTTTCCTAAAAACTCTTCCCATCAAAATGAAGCCTACTAAATGCCCAGCAAGAGAAAAAAAAATGAGGCAAGAAAAGCGAAAAAAAGAAGGGAGGAGAGAAAGCGAAAAGTCAAAGTCAAGACTGCTCTGTCACTTTTAAACCCAAAAACTATCTCAAAATTTTGCTTTCTGCGCATGCCCAAACTTCGCACGCTGATATTTTGCATCTGGATCAGAAGGCCGCGAAGTGTTCGACCTGTAAACCAGTTTGTGGCAAGTTTTAGCTCTTTATAGCACGACAGTGACCAGAAAACCACTCGACTAGCTTCAAAACGCGTTTTTCGGCAAAATCTCCAGGAGCGAATGGGTTAAAGATAAATTATTAAATAGATTATGGTAATATCAAGCTGAGTTAATAAACAAGAATTTGGGCTATGTATTTAAATGACTTTCATTCCAGAATGAGTTTTGTTTGAAAATGAGGCTTGTACTGCATTCAAAAATTTGCTAATGTTTAAGGCATTGTTCTGGTATCTTCCATTGCACCAAATTATCTTGAAAACAGTACACATGCCACACTCACCCCAGACTACACACTTTTAGGTTCACAATTTTCATCTCAGGAAAAAGTTCATTTTCAGTTTACTTTTAAATGAAATTTTAATATCAGAATTAGAGTTTCATTTCAGAATGAAAACCATAATGAACGCATTCTAGAATGTTCACTGCTAGCAGAGGCCTCTTTTCCCTGGTATTCATCCCCTGGGGGAAGGGGGATGGAGGTACTCAAAGACATTTTATACGGGGAGGCTCTGCCCCAAGGTCCAACTTCTTACCCTTTTATACAGCTATTTCGAGAAAGGTTGATGGAAAAAATGTGGATGCGACGATCCCGAAAGGTAATATGGGATATGATCAATATGATCAATAACCTGTTCCTGACACTGTAGCTGCCGAACCTTCTATTGTTTCTTTCCTTTAGCAATTGTAAACATATGTCCATGGCCTCTCGTGCCATTCTTGCAAATTTCTTTGAACAGTGAACTGAAAACCACCCACAATACCTTTTGGCATTGTCGCGTGCACTTTTTCCGACAACCTTTCTCGAAGTAACTGTATACCATTTTTGACAGAAAAGGTGCCCCTTTTGTACACAGTTGAACCTCTCACAACGGCCACCTTGGGGACAGAAGAAAGTGGCCATTGTAGAGAGGTTCCGTATGGACTGTCTGCCCAAAAAAAATGGCCATTGTAGAGAGGTAGCTGTTGTGGAGAGGTGGCCGATAGTGAAGGTTTGACTGTACCTTCTATTTTGACAATATAATATATTAATGGCATCCCTTTCATATATCTAGTGTAGAAAGCTGCATCCCTTTTAACTGCTATAAATGCACTGTCTTAAAAATATGAATAACTTACTGAACCGCTAAGTTTGCTTGTCTTTTTCACAGTCATAAAATCCATTTGTTCACTCTTTTAGGCCCCTTTACAGACAAAATGACAAATTTCCCTACCCTTTCATATACTTCAACTTGTAAAATCCCTGTAGTACCCTTTTATACACCTGAGGCCTGAAAAAGGATGCACCCCTTTTAGGTGGAACCTCCCCATATGAGCTGTTATAGGGAGTACCCACCCCCCGCCCCAGATATTCAGTGCACCTATTCAAGCTAGGGAGATTAGAGTTGCTTGTATGGGAACAAAATTTTGCCTCAGAATCTAGTAAACAGCTAGGAAATATATGGAGATTGAATGGAATGGTTCTACAAAAATGAATATTATTTTGGTGGCAGGTGAATAATAGTCCCCAGGAGTACTGCTAATAATGCGGGGTTGTCAGAAAGTTTTGAAGTAGATGGCTGAGTTGTCAAAGTAAGCGGCCAGTCCAGGGATATTTTATTTAAAAACCGCCATCCATAAACAAATGTCAAGCAGAGTAGCCGGCCGACAATAACCAAGTAGGCGGGGGATTTTTACTGGTAGCCGGCTACTTTTGACAACCCTGATAATGCTGGTATTTCTCATTTACAATGGAATAAATGGATAGCATTTGAACCCACCAACTTGATCTGACATTGATTTTGCAACCTACAGATTTATAAGAAATATTCACCCTTGGTCCTTTCTTTTGAAGAAAACCCTCCATTGTAAAGTCTCTGGTAAGTATGGCATTCACCTAAAAGGAAATATTAAGATTTTTTTCAATTGTTAAAATACCTACATGTTGTAGTTAATTTTTCATCTCAGGTAATTTTTATTTTCCTTTTGTTTCAACTTCATTAGCATTACCATGCCCAAAAACAAAAGGAAAATAAAAATAACCTGAGATAAAAGAATTAACTACAACATACACAATCATATATATTGGAGCCCACTGCAGATGATTCATTAAATTTCCGTTATTTACCCTCAGCAGTATTTAAAGCACTAAAGCTAGTGGCGCCAAGCAAATTCCTGAAACAAATAATTTAAATCAAACACAATGGGGTTAAGAATCCCAACCGGCTAGAGGCAAAGACAGTTGGCTATTTACAAACGTGGTCAAGGATTTGAACTCAGGACCACCGAGAACAAATCCAGCTAGCCGTCAGGGTGGGACTTGGACTCAGGGCCTCTGAATTTCACGTCCAGCACTCTAACTGCTCCGCCATGCTGCCTTAAAAAAAGAACTGCTAGTTCCTTTAAAGAAAATGAGATATCAGGAAATGCCAATTAACATTTCATGGCGACTGTAGCACTTGGCCTCCTTAAGATGCAGCTCACCTTGCTGGGATCAGCTTGGGGACCATTCAGTCCTAATAAACAAAACTTTGCAGATCTGATGGCCATGTACCAGTCAATAAGCTCCTGGCAATTCAACAACAGACAGTTCATTTATACAAGCAATGTAACAGACAGACAGCAGAAAAAAATTGTAATCTGAGGAGTGACAGGATGGTAATTTTTTTTATAATTTAATAATAATTATTTATTTTTGTGATAAGAAAAAGCTCTGTACTTGCACTTTGTTTATAACTAATAATAGAAAATAATGACTCTCAATAGATTAATAATTTATCAAATGAAAAAAAATTGGTTATAAAAGGTAACAAAGGATATGGCGGAACCACATTAACTAGTTTTGGATGCTTAAGTCTCACCCTCTGCGGTTTAGTAAATAAATTTCTTGACAATAAAGTAACCTGTCTGAAGATTCCCCCCATTAACAGTGGAATTCTCTTTACCCAAAGAGTGGGTCTTGCCCACCTGTTTTGATTAATGGTAATAAATCTTTAAAGAATATAGACCCATTTTCAAGTAATGTCATAAAGGTTTTCACATACCTTTCCAGACCCTGAAGACACAAAGTAATTTCTTGTCAATCCATCTGACTTAACATATGTGAATTGTAAGCTATTATCCTCATTTGTTCTATCTTGAGCAAAAGTTACATTGATCTCTTTGACATTGAAGGTAAATTTAGGTGTTCTATCCTGAAAATCAAAACCAAACACCAATAATAATAAATTAATAAATGAACATTGCATCCTTCAGAAAATATTAGGCTCAACTGTTGTATTGGTCTGATTCTCACCAATAATCTAATTACTAAAACTACCACCACAAATTTGCATGTATAATGATTAACTGTAATAATATTATTATAATATTCTTCACTTAAATAAGAAAATAAAAATATTCAAACTAAATCAATTAAAGTACTCTGTGCAAAATTCTCCATATCATTTTTACAGAGTTTTACTTACAGAAACTTTCTTTGTATTTTGTAGTTTTTTTCTACTGCTGCCAGTTGTTCTCTTAAAAGAATTTTGTCATTTGTAGTGCAGGAAACTCGAAGTTTGAATGCATGTGATTCAGATGTACAAATAAATGCACTAGCTAGGTGCAGAATGTGGAACGAGAAATTCTTCATTTTGATCACAATGCAGTTGGCCTGGTACACTATTGGAATTTCTCATTCATTCTACGGCCATATGTACATTTGATTGCCAGTGTAGCACTTAATTACATTAGTCCTTAAAGGCTGTTTCACTAGCGACAGAGTGGGTGTCAAGATGAGTAGCATAGAACTTTATGTTTGTAGTAAAAAACAGCATTCTGATTCCGCTTATGACTCATACCATCGAGTGAAAACTAGGCTGTTGGGGTTGCAAGCCAAAGCAGAGGAACTAAACCCATCACAAAGCAAGAAAACTTTCATTGTGATTGGTTTATCCTTCTCCTTCTGCTTCCGACTCCAACAATCTGGTTTTCACTAGATCTTAAGTGACAGAGTCATAAGCAGAGTCAGAAGAAAATGGAAACGTTCTTATTCTTCCTACTCCAATTCCAACATGCTTGTGACTCTGCTTACAACACTGATTTTTATTTTCACAAGGTCATAAGCACTCTTGCAACTCCACTTACAATTTATTTCAACTCTGACTCCATTGCTGATGAAATCGAGCCTTAAGCCTTAAATCAATATTCTTTACATCATGAGCACTGGGTGACATTAATGTGTCGTACACATTAATTATCATGCAAAAAGTGGCCTCTCCAAAAAGGTGGACAAATTAATTATAAGATAACTCTAGACTGATTACATGAAAAAAACCCAGTATATTGGAACTGATTAATGGTTTAAGTCACATACCTGATCTTTAATATAGTAACTGAGTGAATTGTTATCTGCTGACAGAACAAAGAGCCGTACTTTCCAACTGCTATCATCCTTTCCTTTTTTCCTTAAATAGCCTCGCATTGAGCCTGATACAAAAACATGTTGGGGACACGATTCAAAACCACTGAATATCAAGATCACCTTCAAACACTTTTTTTTATAAATCATTCAAATTTTTATAAATTCAGTAAAGAAGGTAAAGTAGTAAATAGGCCAAAGATTTGAAGATTTGAAGGTAAGCGTGTTAATAAGAACTTAGAAATATTTGGAATGAATTATAAAACAATTTATTGAATTCAGCGTTCTAGTGATGTCAGGAATAATATTATGCTGATTTCAGAGGTTATCCACTGCCTTTGGGCAAATCCAAGAATCAAATCATACTATGCCTCATTCAATAATTGTTGATTGCTGCCGTAACAAACAAAGAAATTTCACAAATAATCAAACAAGCTGTTCCCGAAATGCATGAAGAAGGTGACAAAATTCAGTAAATAACCACCACTAGCCACCTCCACTTCGGTGAATAATAATTATTGTTATTTATTATTGGTATAATAAAAACACACATGCTAATATGACTCAGTGTACCCATGAATAAAAAAGAGTAAATCTTGTGCGCACATGTGACAAAAAACTTTCGTCAGCAACATAGCGTTTCTGAAATGGCTAATGTGTGCATAGCCTGCAATGTGTGCATAACTTCGCTTCCCCCCCCCCCGCTAGGAATGTTTTGTAGGAGAGACGTCTGTGCCTCAGCGACAGAAATTCCATACTGAAGATGTAAATCATCTGGTAGTCATGGTGTTCCAAATGTACATTTGTTTCATTTAAGGTTTCTCCTTGTCGATTATGGCAATACTGCTTTGAAGTAGATTCATTGTGTTTACATTCGTAAGCATAGCTTAAATAATACAACTACTACTTCAACCTGACCACATTTTGGACAGATTTTAAGTCATTAGTATGGAATTTCTGTTACTAAGGTGCAGACGTCTCTCTCGCGAAACAACCCTAGTGGCAAGGTGTGAGGAGAGATGGCTGTAATCACAGGCTAATGTGTGCACATCTGTAAATTTGCCCATAGTGTACCTTTTAAATAAGGTGGCTCTGGTGCTCCATCAACAAACTCCTTCCGTTCATACTTGGCTCTAATCCATTGCTCCTTAAGGACACTTTTTGTAAAGAAAAACATAAAAAAAATCCAATACATTCAAACCTACAAATATATAGCAGAGTTACCCCTTATATCCCATATTATGTCTTGTTGTGTTTTATGTTTTATGATACTTTTTGATTATCACTTGGATCAAACAACATGAATCACAGTTTTCAGTGATAAGGAAACCAATTTTATTATCCACTGCACAGAGATTTATCCACTGGATAGCACTCTCAAGGCCTCTAAAATTTATCCAGTCAAGCATGGCTACATTATATTTTGCAACTTATTACTGGTCAATTATCAGCTTTCTCACAAGTGATAACTGACTACTTGAGATTTCTACACCTCGTCAACCAAGTCAAAATATCTCTCTGAAGGCAGACTTAAAAACACAAGTCATCCAGTCAAATATGAAATATGCAGTTAAAGTTAAAAAGACCAAGGATTTAATTTGTACTTCAAAGCTTCTTGAAATGCAAAAATGACTATGTTGATGAAGATGACTATGGCTATGCAAAACTTAATGTTAGCAATGATAATTAAAGTTAAAAGGTAGTTCAGTTGTTGTTGTTTTTTGGTGATGCGGACTAAATTGCTCAAGGACCAAAACTTTGGTACTTCCAAGTTGTCAAGTTTTATAAAGTTGGTCGTAAACATAATTTTTTAAAGTTTAATGTAATAAATATTATTGGGCTGCCTTTGACAGAGCCAATCGAAAAATGAGTGCCATTTCCTGTGCAGCAAAAAGACAATAGAAAATGGATCAAATTATGTTTCCCATCCCCACTCCTCTGCATAGAGGATTGAGAAAAAGAAATTTTCCTGAACACCAAAAAGTAAATTACTCCTACACCTGTGAGTTTAATGATTAGAGCTTGAAAACTGAGCAAACTGAATCCCAGTTAGGATCCTTATACAAGCAACGTGAAAATAATATTAAGAGTCCTTTATACTTTATACGTTACTTTCAGCATAATTGTGCAAACACTCTTGCCATATTAAAGATTTGCTGGTGAACAAATCAAATCAAAAAAATAATGCTAGCACCAATACAAACTTCAGCTTCAGCTCTCGGGTCCATGTAAAAAATCTCTTCCTTCGAGGCCAAACAGAAACTATTCGTGGACAGTCAAATAGTGTTTTTATTTTATTTTTGTTTTACATTTTCCTCTTCTGACGTGATTGAACTCATGTTTTAGCAGAAAGCCAATTAAGCGTGAAACATGCATTCATGCAAATATTTCTTGGGTCACTTCACATTTATGTCACCCTTGTGAAGACGTTAACCATGAACTTGAATAATGTCATGTTACTTTATCCAAGATTAACTGGAAAATGTGGGGAAGAACAGCATTGAAGTACACAAAAGTTAGCAGACCAAAAAGGTAATCGCAGTTTAGAAGTCTCAGTCTGGACCCACAACTCCACTTTCCTTCATCATGTTTTTATTAAACAAACAAACTTTTATGTATCTCAAAAGATAAATAAATGCAGACCAATGTAACCCCACTATGGGGGTCTTGTTTCAAGCATGCATGTAGCACTATTAAGGGTTCAAAAGAAACAACTGATATTGTTACTCTACTCTGTTCAGGTTACAACAGTCCTTAATAATGAGCTCCTTTCCATGGCAACACTCACGATTAGATAAAAGGCATAGTTTATGATTAAAACAGCTGAGCATCATAATGATTATTTCTGCTTACTGTGGGTCTGTAGGTGTCGGTCTTCGATAAAAAACTGGCACATTCTTGGCCCATGTGGCATTGCCCTTGATGTTACCATTTTCTTCCATAAACTGCAAGACAAAAAATACTTAACATTACTTATAAGAGATAATACTGCTGATGCTCCAAGGCTGTGCTTTAGCCTAGCCCGGTGGCCCCTGGTGCCTAACTTTTGTTCTTGGGTGACTAGAAAATCTTTGTTTGTTTTTGTTTTAAATACAAATCATAATGCTGGCCAACCTAGATTTCACAGGTTCAGAGCACTGGGGTCACTATAATTTTCCTTAGAGAGTGCAGCCTTGTGCTCTATTCAGGGCAAAGAGAAAAAGAAAAAGTGTTTTCAAGTGGCTGCAGCTGGTGAAAAACAAAAGTTTGCTGTAAGTCATTGTTGTCAAATCTCTACTTTAATACATTGATTAGACATTTTCCTTTTTCTTTGGCAAGTATTTTACACAATCTTGGACAGGTATGGTTTGAGTTCTCGATCCACCATTCTACTGATTTCAAAAATTTGTTTCCTGCTGTCTTGTAGAAACATCACCACAGTGCACCTGCAGTAATAGATATGTTGAAGGGCAGTAACCATGTAACAGACCAGCATCCAATTGGTCAGGAGGCAAAAGATCCCAACAACGACATCTCATGTACATCTGAATGTAGAAATGGCTTCACTCAGTCTCTGCAGGTCTTTGGTACAAAGAATTCACCCTCCCCACGCAACACTCATCCCCGTGAGCTTTGTAATTATCATGATCATTATTGTCAGCAGAGGCCTGATTGAGCTGACTTGTGCAAAGGGATGATGAATGATGAAGGTATTTGCAAGTCAAAGCCTCTAGTAAATAACACTGCTCTTTACTGTAAGGGTTGTGTCAAAATAAACCCCTACCTACCCCACCATTATTGCCTCACAGGCCTGGACCACCCACCCACTGTTAGGGATATCTCTACCTGTGCCAACAAAAACAGCAAGCCCTCTCAATTTTTGGAGACCGTACTGGCCTGGAAGCTGGCTGTGCCGGCTGCCAGGCAAAAACCTCTTGGTCATGTTTTAAGAAATTCAGACCACTATAGAAATGCACAGATGAGCAGGTTAAGGTGGTTTACAATGGTCTTCAAAAGCATTGATGGAACAATAGTACTGAACAAATACACAATCATTTATGTATTTAAATTAACACCAAGAAAAATTTTTTTTCACATCCCTTCATTTAACATTCCTCACATTTCAAGTATACATTCAAAATTAGAATGGAATTTGAATAAGTGCAACGTTATGCTTGAGCAAATGATGTCCAAACATGCACGGCTCAGTAATGATCCTAATGACTGTCAGCAATTAAGGAACATAATGGTTTTGTTTCTGCATTATTGTCGTAGTTTCTTGTTTTATTCTGTTTCTATTAATTTGAAATGCCTTTAAAATTCACGAAAAAAATTCATTCCTTGTTTCAGATTTTCAGAGCCCTTGTCATCTTTACAAAAACAATGAAAAGAAAAGTCAGTTTCCACTGAAACGTTTCTATGTGTAAGTGAACCCTAAATATTATTTATTTAAAGTTAGTTTTCAAGATACTTCATGTTATGAGCAGTCAGTCTGTTTTGATGATCGTGAACATGCTCATAAATAAATAACGTAAGCTTCAACAATTTTAGGCATATTAAACCAATTATTAGATAAGCTTAAATTCCAGCTCCATTGAATCACACAAGGAAATAAACTATTCAGCAAAAGATAAGGACGTTTGGGACACAATATAATATAAACACGTTTTGTGACCATATAAAATAACTATTCAGTGTGAACATTGCACAACAAAATTCTTGCTTCTTCACACGATTTCAGCTAACACGAAATTTGTAAATGAAATAAATCTTATGTGTAATTTGAACGATGATATTTTTATCTCAATTAATACAATAAAGCAATAAGCCGAAGATATTGACAAAAGGTGTCTGAAACATGTTTGGAGCTTTCTATGATCTTTAAAAACTAAAGTTTCATTCATTCAAGTGTAGGAGATCAGCTGATGAAATTGATTACGCTTAAGTAAGCTTACATATTTCACGTCAGATTACACGAAAAAGTTTCACCCGCTTTAACGTACTGAAAGCCAAATTTCTTGTCTAATTTACCTTCAGTTTTTCATCTGTCCACGTGTCAAGCCTCAGCGACTTTACTGCTGATACTTGTGCACCTAGATTTCGGTGAATTCCACTGCATGTGATGCAAATAAATAGTCCCTTGGATGCAGAGGCCCACTCAGGATCTATCGAATTCAAGACAACGCACATGCAGGAAATCGCCGGAAAAAATCAATTAAAAGTTCACAAAATAAGAACCGTTTCTCTGTTAACTTGAAGGAGTAAAACTGTTTCAAAACTCTTACTTGGTGCGCCGCAATCCGCACATGTGTTATTTCCAGGCTTCTTCATCAGTTCCAATATCGCAACTCGGTTCTTTTCCGACATTTTGTGCAGCTGAGAGCATTATTGCGTTTATCGACCAGGGGAGGGTCAGTCACTTCCTCACTTCCTCACAAGGCCATCATACCCAGTCTCTGCTCAATGAGTTGCACGTGTATGGAAGACGAAGAGACTACATCCATTTATTGGCATAAAAATCTCTAGTTCCAATAATATTTAACACGCCGAAAGCTCTACCGTTTATGAAAAGGTAGGTGATTTCTAAAATAACCTGAATGTGTTTTTAGTCAGAAATTTGTCGAACTTTTCCCGTAAAGCTTTTGCATTTGGTTGTTTATTGCTAAGCTCACGCTCGCTCCATCTCACGTTCATGCCCGGAACAAAGCTCAATTCTTTGCATTTAACCGGTGACATTTTTGTGTCATGATACAAGAGCAAGTTATTATGCTCGTATGTATTCAAAATTTTGGTGGGTCAGACTGTCTGTCCATTTAAAGACACCGTTTTTCGAATCAAAACACATACTGGTCATTACTTGTTTCCGGGGGAGAAGTCTACATGATTACATCTCTGGTGGCGCCACCTGGCCGGCCAGATCGACTTGAAGTCGTCTATTTCCTACTTACTGCCTCCTGGCTCTGTAGTATGCTCAGCAGTATGTTATTTAAAATCTAAGTAAAAAATCTTGAACATAGCCAATTTAATTTTCAGTGACCTATCTAGACCTATCAGTACTAGCTAGCCAGGTCGGACTTTTTGTCAGTGCCCACAGTTATCAAAAAGGTTTTTGGTATTTTCTCTGTCACTAGGAAAATTTCAGCACATTTCTTGGTGATCAGTTAATGTTTTGGACCTCACATTTCAGCTATCAGTTTAAAGAATCCCCCAGTTTCTCAGTGACAGTTAAAATTAACCACTTCTCAGCTAGCCCATCTGGAGCTTTTTTGTAAGTAAGAAAGGGTGTGTGACAGGAACACTCTCTTCCACGCTTTGTAATTTGGTCAGATTATTGGCACCTTCCTGCTAAAACTTTTCACCATCAAAACTGTTGATCACATGGTCATTACACCATCAAGCAAACAAGTCATAAACAAATTTTTGAAAATTTGCTTCAGAAGTGTTTGGTTACAAAAGTGTAATTTTTAACACACCAGTACATGTAAGTTATTTACCCACATGGGTTAATTAATACTATGAATTCAAAGTGACAGGGATGATCAAAGAATTATGTGGAAAAAAGAATTCAAACCTGAAAAATCCCTCAGGCTAAAATCATATTATTTTATTACATATACCTAAAAACTATGATATCATAGACTATGATTTGCCCAAAAATGTAGGACACATACTTTGTGGTGATATTAATGAACTCATTCTGGCTAATCGGTTTGCATACATTTCCTTTAAAAACTTCGGTAGTATGTAAATAAGGTCTGTCAGCTGAAATACACTTTTTGATATAGAGTGTCAAAGGTGCCTTTTAAGGTAGCTTGTAGAATATCTGAACTCTTGACTAAATACGTTATTAAAGCTTCTTTTTTCTGGTGGGCGTTTACACAACAAAGTCTGTACGCCCAGAAAAAATAATAATCCTTACTCTCTGGCATTCATGTGCATCTTCTCTGCACTGTTGTTAAGGTATTTCATGTCCTACAAGATGCATGCCATAAATTATTTTGTGTCTCTGGGGATTTTTATGCGTCAGGGACGCAGGACGCAGAGGTAACAAAATCACTGATTGTGGAAGATTTCAAAGGATCAATGGTAAAGCATCTTGTAAGGCACCTTGAGAAGAGTGTAGAAGCAGTCATGATATAACCCTTTGTGTTAACTTGTAACCTTCCCAAGTTCCCTTGCACGTGACACCCAGAAACAATGGAGGCAATGACATTTTTGTGTAATCAAAGGGGCTAGGTCATGACAATATTGCTGCAGGGGCAGATCCAGGGGAGGGGATCCAGGGGAGGAGAATGAGAACCCCCCCCCCCTTATCCTGAAGGTCTGGATCTGCCACTGTGCTGTTTTATTGCAATTCTGTGCTGAGGTCATTACTTGGTATCTTTGACCAGACACAAAATGCGTCTGTACAGTTCTGGAAAAGATATCAAACAAATTTCATCAGGGAACACTTAACCATAATAATTTTTTGGTGATTTTTGAAGGCATAGCCAAATTTTCAAGTTTCGATCCATGTCCATCCTTGCCATCCTTTGCAACAGACAACAGAATACACTTTCAATGTCTAAATATAGTCTTAACCCTTTTAAGTCCCAATAGTGACCAAGATCAAATTTCTCTTAGCAATATCCATACACTGTCAAGAGATAAGTTATGAGAATTAATTAAATGATCACTCAAGAGAAAATGCCTGGATCTTTTGGAGCGGGGTGAATAGGTGAATGGAGGCGGATTTTGAAAATATTTTTGCCCGGATTTTGGATTCAAAGCGAGATTTTAACGGATTTCCCGGATCCTGCAACTGCAGCGGATTGCGGATTCATCGACTTTTTAGGCCCGGATTTTGGACTTTGCATGTAATAAAAATATTTTTGCCCGGATTTCGGATTCAGGGCGAAATTTTAACGGCGGATTTGGCCAATAAATCATAACGGATCTGCGGATTTGCATACCCCTATTCATCCCCCTCCTTTTGCCAAATTCTCTCAACTTATTCTTTAATGAAATGTATAGAGATCAGTTTGGAGAATTTGTATGTGGATAGTGGGGCTTAAAGGGTTAAGTAACAAAACTGGACCATGATTTGTGGAATTCAATTGATGCGAAAAAATGTTGTAGCTTTTTAAAAGGATAGCAAATAGCTTGACATAACCTTTTTAACCGGTAATGATATCAGGAGAAGTTAGACGCTGCTTAGTGTTAGGTTTAATAGAAACAAGACCCAGAACAAAATAGAAATTGTCAGGTACCATTAACCCATTCGCTCCTGGAGATTTTGCCGAAAAACGCGTTTTGAAGCTAGTCAAGTGGTTTTCTGGTCACTGTCGTGCTATAAAGAGCTAAAACTTACCACAAACTGGTTTACAGGTCGAACACTTCGCGGCCTTCTGATCCAGATGCAAAATATCAGCTTGCGAAGTTCGGGCATGCGCAGAAAGCAAAATTTTGGGGTTTAAAAGTGACACAGCAGTCTTGACTTTTACTTTTCGCTTTCTCTCCTCCCTTCTTTTTTCGCTTTTCTTGCCTCATTTTTTTTTTCTCTTGCTGGGCATTTAGTAGGCTTCATTTTGGTGGGAAGAGTTTTTAGGAAAGCTTTTAGGATCTTAGGATTAGGTGAAAGGAAAGGTAGGTGGGTAATGGAACAAGATTTTCATGGAGATTTTCAGGTCAATGTCAGGTGGTTTTTTGCTTGTTTCTCCGGTGTCCTTGACTAAATTGTGCTCATTCTGGTATGGTTTGAAAGATCTCTTCACTCTGCACAAGTTAGCGAAGAAAGTTGTCCTTGACCGTTAAAACTGATGACGTCACAATGGGTAGAAAGGACCTGGATCCGCACGGGCGGTTACGGGCGGTTCAGGGGCGAATGGGTTAAAGGATTTCCAACTTTGAACTTTCACTGGAATCCAGTAGCCTCTAAATAAAGTTTTTTCTTGTTTAGTCCCAGTTTTAGGACCAATGGAAAAAAGAAACGACAAACATCTGAAAGTTGAGAGTGGCGAAGCAAATCGGGCAGCAGAAGCTTTTGAGATTGAAGACAAAGTAGGTGAGAAAGATGGTGAGGGAGAAAACACATTCTTGAGTGAAGGAGAGAAAATGGAAAAAAGGGCTAAGAAACACAAAAGAAAACACAAATTGAAAATGGAAAGTGTTGAAACAGAGGAAGCCAAATCTGATGGAGAGGAACACGTGAAAGATAGAAATGGCGAAAGCGCGTTCGAGAGTAAGGGCAAGGATGTGGAAAATGAAATGAAGAGAAAGAAAAGAAAAAAGCAAAAGTTAAAAGGAGAAGGAGAGGAAAGAGAAGGGGATGCCTGTAAAATGGATGAAGAGGAGAGAAATGAGGAGAAAGATAAGAAGGCCTTAACTAAGGCGGAAAGAAAATCGAAAGCCGATCAGGTCCTTGAAAAGGAAACTGAACTTGAGAGGAAAGAGAGGGCAAACATATCCTTTAATGACGCAAGCACAGGGAATAGAGGAGGAAAGAAAGATAAAAGGGTTAAGAAAAGATCGATAGAGGAGGTTTCTGAAGGAAAAGGTTCCAAAGAAAGAAAATCTGAAGCCGAGGTATCGGAAAATATAACAGCTCCGGTGGATGGTAGCGTGGTTTCCGCTTACGATGCCGGTAACGGTATGAAAAACAAGGACAAGAAAAGCAAACGCAGGGACAAGAAAACACCAAAAGCGGAAAGTTATGAGACAGAGGAAATGGAAAGTGAGGCTAAGGAGATTTCTAAGCATGATAGGAAGAAAACAAAACATCTTGATAGGAAGTCAAAAGGGATAGGAAGCGAAGAGGAAGAAAATAGCAAAAAACGTAAGGAGGAGAAGATTGCGGAAGAAATAGCACCCGAGAGTTTAACTGAAGAACAAGAAAAAGTGAAAAGGAGAAAGCGCGACCGTAAAGGAGGTGAGGAAGCGAAAACTGTTGAGTTGGAAGTTTATGGCTCTGCCGGCAAGCACAAGAAAGCAAAAAGACGCGAAGAAATTCAAACTGAGACTGTGGTGTCTGAAGAAGACGAAAATTTGGGGGAAGGTGAAGTAAAGAAACGCTCAGATCCGAATGACAAGCGACACAAAAAGAAGTCGAACGTGAATGATGATGTTGCTGATGAAGCAAAAGAGAAGGAAAATTCTGAGAAAAATTCTAAACGTGAACGAAAGAAAAAAAGAAATGCCGCGGAAAGAGAAGAAAGTGATTCAGATGAGAAAAAAAGGGAGGAAAAGTATTCAGAAGAGTGCACTGCAGCCGAAAAAGGAAAGGAAGAATGGAAGATGGAATCCTCTGCGAGCAAGAAGGAGAGAAAAAGAAAGCTAAAAGAGAACAAAGTTTATGTAGAAGATGATGTCAAAAGTGAGGGAAAAGATATTAAAAAAGAGAGTGTTAGTGAAAAGGATAAACGACAAAAGAACATTAAAGTTAGTCAGGATGATGTTGCTGACGAGCAATATGAGCAGTCTGTGAAAACGTCTAAACACGGACAAAGCAAAACGAAAAGCTTTGAAGAGGAGAAGAATCTTCAAGAAAAAAGCGTTACCGACGGAGAGGAAGTTTCAGAGAGAAAGAGCAAAAAGAAAACCAAGGTTCATGGAGTTGTAAATGAAGATGAAGAAGAACTCGCAGAGAAAAAATCGAAGCGCGACTTCGAGGAAACCAAAAATGGAGGAAATGAAGACGAAAACGGTGGAGAAGGAGAGAGAAGACCTGAACAGGTTCAGTCAAGGAAGCGTGGACTGGAAGAAGAAGTGAAAACCAAAGTTGAAAATTACATCCCGGAAAAAAAGTCGAAAAGAGATCGCAAGAAAATGACGGATAGCAAAGAGAAGGAAGATTCTGCATTTTCTGTCGAGGACCGTGAGAGAGGAATAAGTGAAGATAAATCAAGTAGAGTTGAAAAAAGTAACAGTGGTGGCAGCAAGAAATCGAAAAAGAAAAAATCGTCCAAGGAGAAAGACAAGCAAGAAGTGAAATCTGACGAGAGGGATGACAATCAAGAATCAAAAGAGACAAAGCGCGGCCGTGAAAAAGAAAGGGGCGTGGAAATAGAGCCGTCATCTGTAGTTGGGCGAGAAACAGGTCAAGAGGAGAACGGAAAGAAAAAGACCAGGAACCTGGAAAAAGATCGTGCAATCGGACAAGAGTTAGAAACTTGTAAAGATGAAAACGGGGATAATGAGGGACGAACACTAAAGAAAATTGAACCTGAGGTAAGATAGCGGTATTGTACAACAGAGGTGCTATTACTCTCTTGCTCTCTAATACTTTTATTTCCACTGAATGAAAAATCGGTGTGTAGTCCCAGGAAAATTAGCCTGTGTACAGCCGCCCCCGCCCCCCTCTGCGATTTTTTTCTGAGGGAAGGGGGCGGCTGTACACAGGCTACAGGAAAATGTACGGATTCCTTCCCGTGCGAGAGGTTATATTCCGTAAGCAGCCGAAACGACGGTTTTGATTAGGCTAAAATGAAAGAGAAAATTGATGTATCTTAGATCGGGAATTTTTCTAGATTTGAAACTTGCTATTTTGAATTACGAAACTTGTTTGTTCGTAAATCTACACTGTCAGTTAGACACATGGAAAAGAAACTAAAACGTGTGGGAGGTCCTAACATTCAGTCACGTAAGCATGACTTAATGGGGACACAGGGTACACAGCACCATTTGCATGAGGAAATAGGAAATTGCGAGTAGAAAATTAAATACCCGTACCATTCCGGCGCAACATTTTACCAAGTTGTTTCTATTCCTTTTTCTCCGTATTTTTAAGCTTGGCCAGTGGGGTGGTGCTGACTTTGGCAGTGCAGAGAGAAACGACAAATTTCTCCGTCTGATGGGCGCCTTCAAAAAGCCGTCAGCCACAAGACAAGCGAATGATGCGGCCAGTGGCCCGTCGTCAGGTAGTCGCTGCATGACAAAAGGCACTGAAGAGTCCTTGACGCGGCGACTGGAGAAGCAGTACGAGGCTGCTATGGACTGCAGCAGAAACAAGAGGGGCCTGGGTTTGGGTTATAACCCGGATGAAGACCCAAACAACAAGACATTTTACATTGACAAGACGGCTTCCAAATCAGTGAAATTATAAAGTTACGTCCTATAGTATTATATCTGTAAAAGATGAATTTATAAGCATACATAAAGTGACTAAAAAAAGTGTCATGACATGCTGGTATGTTGATCGAGGTCGTGGGCCGTTTTAAAGAGAGACGAAGTCGAGGTCAATAAAAACGCAAAAACAAGAACGGGCCAAACTCCAGCCATCTTGACCGAACATTTTTGGTCAATAAAGCCGGGAGTTATTGTATGGCCAAAACAAAGTCTGTTTTTGCGAGCAAAGGGGGAAATTTCGAGCGGCAAAGAAGGGCCTATTTTGCCCGCTCGGGTCGCCAATCAGAACGCAGCTTTCGCCCATAGTCTTGCCCGCTTGTGGAATCAACTACTACCATATTTCATATTCTAGGATTGGTAATTGACGTCATATTACCCACTATATATAGGTCGCTATTAGGCTCCACTTTTTGACTTTCAACTAAGGTCATCTCTCACTTTCCATTGGATTGCCTCAGGGTAACTCCATTACATAGCACAAACAAATTACCTCTGTGTGGTCCTGTATTGGTTGACTTTACCACTTCGATTATAAATTTAGCCATAATTAATGCGTGGTTTTTAAAAATTTGTAAACTGTATCTGCGGTTTCATTAAGTGAGAAATAGTAAATCAAAGTTTAAGTTTTAAACATGTTAAAGCAGTCCGTAAACAAAGCTCACCTCTTTCACTTTAACGATCATTTTTTTCTCAGAAATTTATATTTCCCCTTAATTTGAACTGTTAGCTTAGGAAATGTTTTCCCAGTAATTCATTATCAAAGGTCATTTAATGGCTACAGACAAGACCTCCGCCAGTAACGAACGAAAGGTCTTTAAAGTGTGACATCACTGGCGTCATCTTGGTGGTAAATTCCCTTTAGCACGCTATTAATTGTGGAAATTTCTTTTTACCTGCTCCATAGACTGATAAAATTACCTGCAACATTTCATCGGTCCAGACGTCAGTATCAACCGACTTAATTCTTGATACGTCAGTACTAAAACTTCTGTGGACGCCAGCGCATTCAAGACAAAGAAATATACCCTTCACAATGCAAGCGAACTTGGGATCTGTGAACGAAACATGCCAAAAGTCAATGTCCGAACCCTTTTCCGATTGGCGTCCTACGAAGGCATCCTTCCCTTGCAAATCGGCCTAGCTATAACAAATGTCTTCGTAACGTGTCGAAAACCAATATCGGTTAGATTCTAGGCGTCCTGTTTTCCTCAGACATACCGATTTTAAACCTATTATAGGTAAAGACACTTTAGCTCACTTCCTTCACGCAGTATGATAATTAGACGGTCCACCACTCACTTATGGTCAGCCGATATTTTCTCTCTCTCTCTCTCTCTCTTTCTTTTTTTTTTTAAGGATGCCCTAATTGAAGCTGATTCAACTTTTCAATGTTTAGTACAAGCGATCTGAAAATCATATTCTTTTCAAACACCCAGACATTATTGAGTACAACTGTACTAAGTATCATGTTCAACAGTGGCACATGTGAAAGAAATATTTGAAAAGACTTTGCATCAGCATTAAGTCCCCCTATCTTACATCTTCGCCCTTTTTGAGAGGAAAGAAGTCAAAAAGAGATTCAGGCCTTGAGAGAAAGTTTGCGGCCGCCGGAAAGTTTCTCGCTAGCAGCAAAGTGTCTACTGGATATAATTAAATCAAGTTATAAATTTAACCCCAGCTAGTTGAACAAGCAACTTACGTTGTTCAGAGCAATCAGCACAATAGTCATTTCTGTTTTCTTGTTGTATCTTGCTCAAAGCTGCTTTCTTTTCCTGATCCTGCCTACGTATAGTCGACATTTTATCCGACTTTTACCAAAACACGAGATCTAGCATTTGTTTACTACTGTGAATTCAACCTTAAATCAAACAAAGAGATGCAAATCTTTAGTTTTGTTATTAGTAGCAACATCTACCAATTACTCAGTTAGTGACGCATGGCTCTACATGTCTCATTTGCACACGGAAGTTCCAGTCTAACGTCACGGTGTTAAAGACTGAATCAAATGAGACAAGAAAATGTTTTCGAGGGGATCAACTTCAAACTTAAGGAAGTGTACTACAAGGAGAAAGTGGCGCTTTTAGTCTGAGAATACAGATAGAATATGCCTTAAGAAGTTTATGAATAATTTGCACATGAAATACCTTCCTGTTGCCTCATGTGAATCCAACCTTCAACTTCAATGAGCGGAGAGATGTAACTTACAATGACACGTTTTATGTAGCTCGTCAGTGTGGCAAACCCCAGTAGTTTTATTGACGGGTGATTAAATCTGATTTACATACGGAAGTTCATGGGTAAATTGATAGAAATTTGAATCTAAAAATAGGATCATTACGTTTCATGGAAGGAAAAGCTGCATAGGTACAGCCTTTAAAGGAGTTTTCCACAATTTCTGCTGAAAAGCAGTTTTTTTGCTTATACTGGGCGGCGTCGGCCTTGTAAATGGAAGCCTGCGTTTCTCTCAGATATAAACGTGACACTGAAAACAAAAGACGATATGATTTTTGCATCTGCTCCTGTTTTTTATGTTTCATGCAATCCAAACACGAACTTTTGTAGAAAAGTGCCGTGAGCCCGTGATGGTCAGGGGCCGTTGCTCGAGGGTCCCGGTAACGTTTCGGGCCCGAAATCAAGTAATCAAATCAAAACCTGAAGAAAAAGAGCGCAGGTCTTAGCTGACAAACCAATCTATTTTGTTTGTTCAATGATAGTTTCATCATGTTATCCGGAAAACTATCGAAACTTTTATTTTGAATGTTAACAACAACAGCTTTTCGTGCCGTTAATTGTCGGGACTGCCGAGAAACCATGTCTCCTAAAGTTGTGAAGGGTAAGTTCTTTGCCGCCCACCATGAAGGGGTTTTTCCCCCGCTGGTGAACGAAACCGAAATACAAATTTCCACTTGGCTTTTTTTTTTTTGCATAGTAGGTGTTTGCATGTCATGTGTGTGCACTGTTTATGAGCCGCCCTTTCGTCGCCCTTAGCTCGAGAGCGTTTCCAAAAACCTGGAAACACAAGGAAACGACCCGTAGCAATAAATGCGATTTCAAACGAGACCGGCATTGGTGCGCGAGCGCGGTGTGGACGAAACTACGGGAAATTCCCCATGGGCGTACGCAGGGTTGCTATGCTTGGAATGGGAGCGAAGTTCGTCTTCCACTCTCCCCATCGGAACGGTGTTCTCTGTTTGCCAAGTAACCTTCATAGAGCTTTGCGCGCCGATATAATCATTCCCCTTAACATTCCAGCACGTAATACTGACAGCATTCAATAGACTTTTATTTCAAACTTTATTTGCGGCCACTTTATGTAGTGGTTGGGTACTTCCGGGTTTCCCCTAATTCTATGCTTTCGGTTAATTTGCCAGTGAAGGCGCGCTGTTTTTTTTGTCTACAGTAATACATGACTCTCATAACTTTGAATGGATTTAGATTTTGCAGAAGTGTTCGCAGGTAGCTTTCTCTGATATTGTCGTTTTTTATTCAATCGTTGAGAGCGCATGGAATGAAAACTGGACGCAAGTAGCGAGGCGAACCGCGGGGGGTAACAACTGAAATTTGTGCATGTTTGATAACTTACGTTCCATCAAATTCAGTCACGTACTCTTCGAATAACCAATATGAGCAAACACCATGGCATGTGACCTGGCTTCAGCATTGGCTTCAGCTATTCTCAAGAAATAGAACACAAACAGCAGTGATAAACATATTCAACTTACTCATTTTTATAAACTTGACATTTCGTATGAAAATGTATGTTGAGTGGCATACGAAACGTCAAGTAAGTTGAATATGTTTATCACCACCGTTTGTGTTCTATTTCTTATCAAGCTACGATGGCCCAAGAAAAAAAGTCTTTACGATTTAGCTATTCTCCCTGGGGAAAACACGCACAAAAGCCTAAATTAACAACAATGCACTTCCTAACGTATTCAGCGTGAGCCGTGGAAATACACGGCATATCCACAGACCTTGCCCCTCATATTTAAATAGTAGACCGCATGGTAATTCAGCCAGTTCTAGGAAAGTTTAGGTCTCGGCACCCTCGCCCCACCATTCTCCCCGCAGCGACGGAGCATATTCTCTGCTGCTCTACCGACTCGCAAAGCCTTGGGCCGATTCTCCCATATCTTATGCATTCAGTTTTCTTTGGCTTTGAATGTTCGTGTTCCGGGTGAGAATATACAACAAATTCCCCCGCACATAGCACGAAAAGCACGAGCTCACTTGGTGTTCTGGGTCTCTCATGCAACAGTCTCTCTTCTTTACTTTGGAGAAGTAAAACAGCCTTGTATTCAACGAAGCAGAATCTCTATCAACAGAACCGCTCTTGATTTCTTCTCTGGCTCCTCGTTTCATACGGATTCTTTCTTTCCTTGCAAACGTTGTTTTCGCATCAATCTGTACGCCATTATAGCACGTTCTCTTTCTTTGTCAGCTATTTCACGCTCAACAGTTGACATGTGCTTTCGTTTTTTAGTCTTCGGTGGGCCGGAGTCTTCAGTAGTGTCAGTTTGCTTATCTTTTTCTGTCTTTCTGTCTGTGTCTTGAGAGATAAGAGAATGAAGAAGCAGCGGCTTTGTTCCCTGAAAAAGAATAATACGACAAAAGAGCGGTAACCAACCGGTAACTAAGGTTGGAGTCCTTAAATAATATCTTTTTTTTGAGAATTTTTGGATGCTATTGGAATGTTTTTAATGTATAAAAATTAGGGGGGATGTTCAAAATTGTGGAAAATATTGGATTTGGGGGTTGTAAACAATTAAAATATCACGTGAATAATTAGTAGACAAATACCAGATAGTCCACCACCACAACAAGGTTCCTCGAGCCCATTAGAAGAATAACTGGTTTATGTTTATACCTTTTCTACCCCAATTCAATTTCCTTCCCAATTCAGCATCTTTCCTCCCTCCCCCCCCCCCCCACAAAAAAAAAAACAAACAAACAAAAACAAAAAACCAAGACTGCACCCCTTAATACGCTGTACATGGTGGTTGACCGTTCTAACTTTTGAGTCTATTTCTCTTTCTCTCTCAAGATGCAATCCTAAGGTGTGACCATTTCAGGGGTTGGATCCAGAAAATTCAGAAAGGATTGGCCAGGACAGTCTTGCCAGCTATATAGTTACTATTTATTTTCCTGAGAATTCTTTTAAAATAATTTAAAACTTTATGGAAAAAGGGGTGGCCACGGTCCCCTCAGACAAACCCCTAAATCCGCCCATATATTTCCTGTGCTACTGATGATTATCCTACCGAGGCTTAAGCCTGTTAAATCAGCTCCATGTAAGCTTGTGTGGATAAAAGTAAATGTATGGATAAAATCAGTAGAGGCAGTTTTGTCAAGCCAATGGAGTCGATTTGAATTCACAAAATCTAGAACCATATGACAACTGAAATCAAGACATTCTTCCTCAATTACACAAACGAAGTGTGAAGTAGTTGTGGCTGTTGAAAATTGTGAAATACCTTGCTCATCTTGGACGCTTTTCTCGGCTTTGCTGTGAGGGACGGTGGCTCCATGGCTACTTCTCCAAACCGTACATTATCTGAAAAAGAAAGTTAAAGCTAAACCTGCCATTTATTTGCCCACATTCATAAATAAACATTTCCAAATTCTTTTGGTCCATCAAAAAGTGGTATAAAAAAGTTTCACTGATCACTGCACTTTGTGTTTGTCAATAGATTAGAAGGAGCATTACCTTTCATGAGGTTTAAGTCAGCATTTTCCTTGTACAACTTTTTCTTTTCCTTCATTTTCTGCTTCCTCTCGATCAAGTGCCTAAGACCAACATGAGGCAGAGAAATAATACATGATTACGTACTGTATACTGACATGTTAGTGAGCACAACATTAAACCCGTAAGCAACTGACACTGTCTGGCTCTATGTATATTTTGATGAATTCATAAATATTGCCTTGCGTAGCCTCAGCTCGGGAGGCACTCCCTTATTTGGCTTGAATGTGTATGTGCCACTGAGCAGGGTATGGTTTTGAGGTTCTTGAGTCTTGAGGGTATGCAATTTACAGTCCCTATTTAGTGCCTTTAACAGCCAGGTGTCTATCTCAAATGAAAGTCTTGAATGAAACTGCACGGTCATGCAATGCTTGCGCAGGGTGTTAGCGGTGGGTTGTCTTCATTTCTATGGTGCTACATTTTTTAAAAAGATGTAATAATATTATTATTCAATGCTGTTAAGAAAAAAAAACACAAACAATAACACTTAATTCTGTATGCAAATGAAATGAATCACCCTGGTCAGCCTGGTCATAAGAGGTCTCCTGTCTTAAACAGGGAAGCAAAACAGACGGGTTTTGTCTTACACAGGGTCACATGGTTATAAAGCCTTGGGGGCATACCCCTAACCAAATTTTCCTTAAGCACCACCCCTCACCCCTGGGTTTTTAGCTCTCACTTGAACAGAAGCAACATCCATGGCCACCTTGCACAGCATAGTGATCAGTGCCACATGAAACTCATGACTCTTTCATGGTAGCTTTATTTCAACATTGACATGTTGGGTTTACAAAAAATAATGTTAAGAAATGATAAAGAAAGATCACAAGCCTGAGCAAACTGCCGACATTATTTCACAGGGAAACCAACGGTGTTGTTGCAAAATGTTAGCTGTTCTGTCAGGCTAATGACTGACCACTGTGGTATGTCAGGGAATTCCGTCAGGGAATCAAATCTTTTGTTGTTGCATGGATCTCATGTGACAAGGTGAGTATATCCTCCTTTGACTCTTTTCATCGTTCATATCGTAAGAAGTGTTCATTTAGGAAGGGAATGACATTTAGACAACGATGAAGTCACTCATGCATGTATGCTTCCCACAACTGAACAAGATTTATAACAGTGCAGTTAAAGCTCTCTTAACAGCCACTCTCGAACTGGACAGCGCCTAGCTCTACTTACAGCGGCCTTTGCAAAACTGTTCTAACTCTCATACAAACTCTGTATTTTTACATTCCCGCAAGGGGACAATTCCCATAGGTGGCTGCGGACACTTTCTGGGTTAACGAATTAAATTGCAGCTTAGTTTTTCAGCTCCCATAATAAGCAAACACCTGAAATGAAATCTCATTCGCCTCTGAATAAGTTTCAGTGTTTTTTTCTCCATACACGTCCGAGTACACTTCAAAACACGTCTTGAATTTTATGCTTGTGACTGAATTACAACATTGTCAGAACAACAAATATATTAGCCAGACACTAACAAACAGTTGTTTTTTTTTGCATTTCCAATGTTTATTTGTGGTTGGGCAAGCTCCCACAAGCACGAGGCCATTTAACACTTACATCTGTAGTGGCTACTTATGAGAACCACTCTCGTAAGTGCCAGCTCCAGTAATGGACAGCCTTTTCGCGTCCCAAGGGTATCCGCTTATGAGAGCTTCCACTGTATCTGAAAGGAGAGCCATCATGCATGTCCTTGAATTCTTTCAGCTAGGGCAGAGTTATTCACACTGCAATATGCTGGGTACAGATCAACTGAGGGACACAAGATACGATTTTCTAGTTTGTATATGATCTTACCTTTTTCTTGCCTCCCTCAGTTTTCTTGATGCCTTTAAAGAAAGAGCAACCTCATTAGCAGCTTCATGATCTATCCTGTCAAAGTATTGTTTCTTGCTCTCCCCAGCGATCCTCTGAAACTTTGGTGTTACTACAAAGTAACAGCCATAAAACAAGGTCATGAAAAGTTGAACAGCACAATAAATCATTAATATAAAGTTAATGAAAATACTCAGTTGTTGGAGACAGCATAATTCCAGGATGTGAGATTATCAAATTTCTTCTCTGTCATTATCAAATCAGGAAAAATAAGGCAGTCCTCACTGAAAGCACCCTTCGTGTTTTGGCAAACATTTTCCACAGTAATAATTATGGAGAAGTTAAAGGTGAAAGGTTCTACACAGTAGCTGTGTCTAAAATGTACACTTCAGAAATTATATCATAAGCATGTACCAATAAGAAAATGTGATAAATACAGAGAAGATCATCACAGTTAAATGCACAACTTATGCAGTTGAGAAAAAAAAGCCTGAAAAAAAATTCAGGCTTGCCAGAATTCGAACCCTGACCTCTGCGATATACCAGTGCAGCTAGCAAGCCAACTGGGAGTTGGTCCTTGAATTGGTTCATAATTTACCAGGGAAAGATGAAGATATTCATCATTTCATCTTTACCTTTTCTGGCTATATTACAACCATTTGATAATTACCACATTTCTTTGTCTTTGCATCCTTTTTTCTCATTGTGGTTGTTGGCTTCTTTAATGCCATCTGTCTTCTAATCAAATCTTTTGCAGCTCTGGGCATTTTCTGATCAGTGAGTCTCTCATTCTTCAATGGTGTTTTGTTACTGCAACCAAAATTTTATTTTAGAATGAACTGAACCAATTTCCTCCAAGAATAGGTCAATTCATTACCCAGTTATTTTTTGGGTAAAAAAAATACAGTAGAACCACATTATAGTGAAGGGCCAAGGGACTGGAAAAACATGTTCCCAGCTATAACAAGGTTTTGCTATAACGAGAGAGCAAAATTTATATACACCCATGTTTAGTTAAAAACTGTATGCAAGTTTAAAATAATATTAAAGTCTTCAACTGTTTCTTAAAAGTATAATAATTGTCCAGTTTCCTATTTGTTTTTTCCACTGTCACCACAAAATGAAATATAGCTGCTATTCAGATTCTTCTGTTATTCGAAGCTGGTTTGTATATTTGGTTTTGGGGTTTTGAGGAAAGCTTCACCAAGGAATTCCTTGAAAGCAGAGTACAGGATGAGCTTCTAACCTCACTTACTTGCTTTTTACATTTTGTGTCTTGTTCTACTTTTATTGTTAAGTCAGGCATGAGCATAGTGTCATGAGAGACCATGTCAATGGCCTTGCATTTAATGTGTAGTTCCGAAAAATATCCATACCAGCCCACGGAGGGCATTTTTGCTTTAGACCCCCCACCCCCTCTCGAATTTCCATTCCAGAGGGTGCTTGTCATAGCCCCCACCCTCTAAAATTTCCATAATTTTTCAACTTGGTTGGGTATAGTACCCTCTGGAAAGAATAATTGTGTCAAAAATGTTCTTGCACTATTCTTATTATGTGAAAGATATTTTTTTCTGCGATAAAATGAGAAAGTCTTTTCATTTATGTTAATATGGTGTCTAATGATCTCAAGAATGTTCTTAGCTAATAATTAACCAGTAGTGCAGAAGTGATTTAATTTGGGTGATCACGGATGCTGTGCCACACCCTAAAGCACAGATCATCACGTCAAGCATCAAGACAGGTGATTTGCATAATGAGAGAGAATCATTATAGTGGATAATGGGGAATAGAATACGCAATGCCCTTTTCTGGACTCGCTTGATCTTGTTGCTAAGATAGACAGGTAGGCTGCTTGACCAGGTGACACAACAGTATTCCAGAACTGAGCGTATCAAAGCAAATTAGACATTGAGGAGGTCGCTACAGGGGATACCAGCCTGCTTTTTAGCTTCAGAACCCTAAGAATATAAAGATGCTTAGATGGCTTAGTAACCATTTTGTTGATCTTGCCGTTCCACATAACGTTACACAGCATAAGTCTAAGATTAATACTATGCATTTTAAAAACTCTTTTATCAACTGTTTATTTTTTAAATATGAATTAGCTTTGTAATATTCTAGATTTTGATTCTTACTATTTACCTTCTTACACTTTTTACTAGATGTAAAATTTCTTAATTTAAACACACTTGTAACAAAAGATATGTATTTGAATTTATCTTTTGACGAATTAAGACATTATTATATTATTATTATTTATTATCATTATTATTTGGAGTGAAGAACAAGTTGTATTATGGCCAATGTGAATAGACCAATTTCAATATATTAAAATTCATCCTCAGCTCTGCAGCTCGGGGGAATACAACAAAAGAAATGTATTATTCATTACTGAGCCTCAAGATGATTTCTTTTGTTTTATTACCCCAAGCCTTGTAGCCAAGTACGAATTTTAAAGGCCTGTGAAACTAGTTAATTAACGTCCACATGACTATAAAGGGCCTGTTTACATGGAGTGGGGGACCCCGGTCTAGTGGGGTAAGTTTCTTTTCTTTTCACGCTCTGGGGGACACAAAACAAAAGAAACTTACCCCACTAGACCGGGGTCCCCCACTCCATGTAAACAGGGTCTAATTTATAGTTCACTGTTAAGCTTTATATTGATTTGGGAAGCAGCGCAAACACACAAGAACTAAAACAGATTTAAACGAGCAAATTCTCCTCGACAAGGAAATCTTCGCAGTGGTTAGCGCTGATCATGCACTACCAATTAAGGTTTCATAACATTTGTTTATACACGCTTACAGACTGTATTTACAAAACACGTGACAGTGTTCGCACATGTACAGCAGACTTACCTGCTTGAGATGCCATCTTTCTTTGGTCCTTTATAAAATGGATCACATGCTTTGATCTTCTTATGCCTACTCCTGCGACCCATTAAAACAAGGAATTTGTAACTTTTACAATATAACACAAGCGAAAATACTCGTCAGATACAAGGAAAAATTTTCTGGTAAACTGTCAGCGGTTGTTCAATTTGAACGAGTAGGCCCGGACACTAGGGTAAAATTAAAGATGGCGCAAATAACCGGCTAGGAGACCTTACAAATTTCACAAAAATAGAGAGTTAGTGCTGTGATTCGATCTTGGTGCTTTAGGGAGATGTTGTCAGTAACTTTTGCATGAATGCTCCGAACTATCCACCGACTATTACAGATCAAGAAACTCTCAGCTTTGACCGATGTAAGTATAACACACTCCTCTTGAATTGAAATATCTATGGCATTTTTTATTTCACCAATCTGGATTCCTTGCCACAAAAATGGATTCTTTCAGAAGCTTTCATTGATCTTGGAACCTATATATTTCAGTTCATTACATCTAGCTGAACCATTTAGGAAATAACCTTTTGAGTCTTGACTAAATAAAGATTAAATTTATTATTTTTTTAAAAAAAGGAACTGAATTAATTACTCACATCAAAACTTTTTGGACCTTTTTTTGTCTATTCTCCCCCGATAGAAAAATCTTGGACAATGCAAGGATAGGCCAATTTATCATGTTGTTGTATGCTAAATAACCTAGTCTGCGAGTAGAAGTGTGCAGCCAGTCTGCATGAATGAGAGATTGTGTATTTATACAGCTGATTGAAATTATTAAATATTGAACCACTTAATTTACATTTGGCCTTGGCATGTTTGTACAAATTCTGGATCACTATTTACTAAAGACATGGAAACAATACCGTGTTTACTCAAATAAGCGCAACCCCCAATTAAGCACCATCCTCGAATAATACATGGTTCAATTTGACCTGTTACCATGCCTTCCCCCTCTAGCCATACGTCTGGGGATTTGCCATTTTTTTCTTTTCTGGTGGTCTATTCCCCACTTCCGGTCACGCAGAAGATGATGATTCCCCACCCCCAAGCTCCTGATCAACCTCATATACATACATGCCAACTCTCCTAGATACGACACCAACCTCCCGGTCTCCCGTATGGGTCACCATATCTCCCAGATAAAATCATCTTTTGAGCTTTTCTGTGCCTTAGTTTGAAATGTAGCCCATTTTTTGCTCAAAACTTGAATTTTTCATATTCATAGTACTGTTTCTGGGGCATTTTTGCAGCTATTTTATAGTCACTGACAAAGATTATTTCTGGCATCAAAATGATGATCATGAATTTTGACAGTATGTACTTCATGCAAGACTTCATATAATGTCCTAAGTCATTCCCATATTTATCGGGGGGAAGGGGGGGTTGGTAGTGAAAACGAGAGAGTCTCCAGATTTTAGATCTCTAGAGGTTGGCATCTCTACATAAACCTATGTTTTTGGGGTGTACACCTGTTTGAGAGCTATAGTGATTTCCATTCAACAGCAAAACCAGAACTTTTATAAACGTTTTCTAGAGTTTTGTGAAAGGAGGATATACGTGTATGTAGTTAAAACATGAACTGAATACATTTGAAAACAAAAAGGAAGAAACTACTTGATAGAACACTTCATAGGAACACTGGACTGAATCTTTGTTTATTTATATATATTAGAAGCCTTGTATCCATTTTCATATACAGTCCAAGGCTGAAAATAACTTTTTTTAATAAGCAGGTCATTTGTCAGGTCAGAGACCAGACCTGACCTGACAAGGAAACAGTCTGGTCGGACAAAAAAAATTCCAAGTGAAAGAGCAAAATTAAGAATTAAACAAAACAACCTACTTCACTGCTTTAATTGCACAATATTAATCACAGACAGGAGCTGTAACAGTTGTAACAGTTCACTGATCAGTCTTTACTGACTTCGCACTTAAAAACAAAAATTAAACAAAAATTTAATTCTGATTTACTTTTGAATAGCAGATTATTATTTTTTGATTGTCAATGTGTGTGTTTGCCAAATAACAAAACAATGTTTTGCCAAAAGTGTCATTAAAGTATGATAATTAAAAGTTTAATTTGGATCAAAAGTGCCCGGTCAGAGTGACAGACCAGACTAATATTTCGCCGGTCAAAACGTCAAATTTACCGGACAATTGTCCGATGACCGACTGTTATTTGCAGCCTTGCAGTCTATTTAAGTTGTCTTATTATTAATCTAGGCTGAAGAAATATTTTTTGTTTCTTTTGTGAACAGAAACAATTTGAGTACTAGCCTGCCATTTCTTCTCTCTTCTCACTGTTTGGGATGCTTCGCCAGGAGAGGCATCTGCGTCTCAGCTTCAGAAAAAAACGATGTTTTTATTCCTCTCCAACCACTATTCAGCGTTTTCCCTTGAAAATACGTGGTCTTGAGTTCTGCAGCTTCGTGCAAACCGCGCAAGAAATTACACATAATTTGCAAAATAAAAGAAAGTTATTTTTGATTTGCCCCACCCTCATACCCCTGGGACAGGACTTCTTCAAACAATTCCCCACCCCCAGGCCCAAAGGGCTGAACTTGTCTTGGGAGTTGCTGGTGGGAGGAGGTGGTAACAGGTCGAGTTGAACCATGCATAAGCCCTGCATTTGGGACAAAACATTTACCCCCCCCCATAAGTGTAGAGAAGTCATTCACGAAGACTTTTGGCCAACTGTGGCCAACAGTCAGTTGGTTGACAATCAGCTGGCAGGTCATTTGGTAAGCTTCCCTTCAGTTCTAGTGGTGCTTGAATAATGGGGGAAAAGATTTAGATATTGGTTTATATTCAGGTATATCACGAAGCACATAAGAAATTTGGAAAGCTTTTTTGAGAAGAAGAAAGGCCTGCGTAAAGCATGATTGACTAAATTTGGCTTCACATTGCAACATTTCATGCAACACAGACCTCCTAGTCAGTGATTAACTTTGATTGTTGCAATTGTTAATTTGATTAATTGAAATTTGCTGTCATGCCATTGCCTCCAATGTTGCAGATGGTTGGCATGATTTCATTTCAAATTCGACACCTTTTGATAGATATGAAACACAAAGCAAATTGCAAGGAGAATCCAGAAGTGAGGTTCACCTTTCCACTGAGTTCCCCTCCAAATAAACTTACAAATTATATCAATATTAACACTGATAGCTTCATCATCTTTGATGCCCTTTAGGGTTACTTTCCCACTGTAAATATTGCTTTAATAAAATTACCTTTTAAATGTTTGGTTTTTATTCATTGACAGGGCATTCGCTTTATCTCTGTTTCTTCACACAAAAGAACCACTGACGAAAGTAAGCTATTTACACTCTATTTCGCTATCAATCATAACTATAACAAAATTGTCAAATCTGATTGGCCATCAACTGTCCTGATTTCAGCACTCATAGGACAGTGTAACAGGACAGTACACATCATGCCGAAGTAATATTGGACAGTACATGCCACCACATGCGCGCTTCAATGGCTTTTTTTCACTGCCACCAAAAAAAAGAAAACTCAGAGAATTTCTTGCATTTTCATTGAAAAAAGCCTAAAATATCACAAATTTTGTTATATATAGTCATGATTAATTGGTAATAGAACTTCTTTTCATCCAATTTGGTCTGTAATTATACTCGTGATTAAACAAATCGGACTCTTATCTCATTTTCTCGATCACTAATTGTATGATTACAGACCAAATTGGACTCCACTCAGTCCTATTACTATCATTAAGAATGCTATTATGCTGATATAGTTTGTATCACTGAACCTGATCATGCCTGTGATGTTAAAATATACTTTGTGCTACTATCTATTTTTACACTTTTCTTGCACCTGAGAGTGAAACTCAGGAAACCATGAATCAGAAATATTTCTGAAATTAGCTGGTTCCAGGTATTCAGATAGTGGAGTGTAGGTACAAAATAAAAAACAAGCGAGAAAAAAGTGTGCAGAGACTGGAAACAATGACAAAAGTTTCCTTGCCAAACCTTTACCTTTTTTCTCAGTCTTTGCTGTTTTTTCGCCTGCCTGCAGGCAAAACTAAACTCTGGTTGACTAACCAGAGTTTAGTTTCGTCTTCGCGCAGGCTACTGTTTTTTAGTTCACACTATTTTTGGCCTGCACTCCATGAATATCCAATTGCCTGTAACAGGCTTTTCTGGAATGTTTTGAAAAGCTAATCCAGGCGAGAGAAAACTATACCCCCACAAAAATGGTAAATTATGTGAGTTTTGTGGCTTTCTTTCATTCAGACCTGATCTTTTTTGTGATTTTGTTTATAACATAATAAGCATTCACGAAAGTTTTCAGGTTTACATGGTTTTGTGAGTTTGACCATAAGGCTACCATTAATAATTTTGTTACAAAGAAATTTAATGTGCTTTTTGTGACCATTCAGCAATTCCCAAAATTTATTTCTATAGTACTTTGTACTCCCCAAAATAATTTACATTGTTTATCAGTCAAATCTTTGCAAATCTTTGTTATTGCAAAAATTGTTCATAAATTGCCATCAGATAGGTCCATTAGAGACTATACCAAAGACATTTTGACCTTACATTGTATATATTGTAATAAACATCAGGTAATATTAATGTAAATTAATATCACTATATATGTACGTAGTATAAAAAGAAAAATATAGGGGTACATTGTTCACCATTAATTTAGTAGGATCAAATTACTACACTAGACTTTATACATATTTGCATTACATAGGTACAACAGACCCAGGAGGTCCATTGCCAGAAAAAAGCCAGAGTGATGTCGATACTGAGAAGAAGCCACCAGTAACACCACCCCCTCCCCCTCTGGATTTGTGTTGCATGAGTGGATGTCAAAACTGTGTCATGATACAACATGCAGAAGAGCTCTTAAAACTTTATAGTGATGACACAGCTGCTAGAGCTGCTATAGAGGAAATTCCCGATGAAAATTTGAAGGCGTTTCTCAGAATAGAACTGAACCTCAAGTGATATATCTCAAAGAAGCTTCTCTGTTCTTCAAAGTATACTATGTTGTGAAAAGTACAATTGACCAATTTTGATATATTGCCTTTGAGGCTTGGGGAAATATGAAATAAAAGAAATCTTTCAGAAGTTAAGGGATAAATAACAATTTCTTTCCTTTTTTTCTCCCCAAGCTTTGGGGCTAAGTTTTTAATTTTAATTATAAAAGTTGTTCTATGGATTTTACCTGCTAAAAAGAGAACTAGGTTACATTGATTTATTAGACATACTCTTATTTAGCAATTAATTTATTGAATTGGATGAGGCTGAGCGTGATGTGAAGAATTATTGGCCTAGGTGGATAACACACTCCTAGATCTGCATAATTTTTTTGTTTCACAAAAAAGTGGGATCAAATTTTGTTTTGTGTTTTAAAACTTTACTTATATTTTTTATACTTAAGAAAATCGTTTCTTTGATTGATGTATAGTTCCCGTCTTCATAACATTTGCTTGTGCTATGGCAAATTCAGGATATGAGGGGATGTTTAGTCCAGCAGATACTCTTCAAAAAGCAGTTGTCGTCCGTCGAGGGGTATTTTTGCTGTTCTTGCTATGTTGTACGGAGTAGTTTTGGCCATTTCTTCTTCGGAAAAAGTGTGTGAAATTTTCAGCCATGTTTTCCAAGTCTAGCTAAACGGTTGAGCTAACGCGCCTTCTATTGTCCCTTTTTCTGAAAAATTATCCGTGAAAGTGACTTATCTTTGATGTTTTTCGTCATTTGGTCAATAATTGCTGGTTATGAAGAATAAGCGGGGAAATTTAAGCCAATAAGAAATGGAGGAATGTTTTAAATAAATAGTACGATATGTCTATCCAGATTTAGCCAGGGCTAAAAGCGAAGCTCTCGATAATATTTATAGTTTGTTCAAACAAAATATAAAATCATGTTGTGCTAAGCGGCGAAGGGAACGAGAACGGTGAAAAAAAAAACAACAATAGGTGGTTTTCACGTTAAGTCATCGCCGCCATGCTGGTGGACGGTAAACGAAAGATCGCTCATTGGCTCCCTTTGTTTGTCCACCAGCATTTGTTCATTTCACCATTGTTATTTGTGTCTCCCGAGATTGCATGAAAACCACCTATAGGTCTAATTAGCAAAAACAACAACTTTGCACGTGCAGCACACTTTTTTTGTACATATCTTTGCCGTTGTTTCGCACGACTACAACGTAAAACTTCTAGAAACTTCCTAGTTACACGTTTTATGGAGGAAATGTCGTACCTGTTAATAAGTTCTTATTCACCTTTTTTCACTGCCGCTCATTTTCACCTTAGTGGCCGCTGGGATTTCTCATCTTCTCTCCGCCGCTTCAAAATTTTCATGTTGTTCTTCCAACAAATGACTCCTTATCTCCCACTCTAGCTCTCTGTAGCTCTTTTTCTCGTAGAGCTTCGCTGGCCTGCCGCCTACTTTCTCTTTTTCTCTGTCGTTCTCTTTCTCTATATTCCAAATTTGTGGACATGACAATTGATCTAAGCATAACACTTTAGACAACACGGATACAGAAATAAATTCCACTTTCCGTGTTCGTCTTTATTGACTCTTTAGTTGTCTCTGCTTCACAAGACGCGGGTCGCTATGCGATTTCCCGCCAAAATTTTTAAACCTGGAGCTGCATTTGGGTTGCCATTCCTGTTGGTTGAGTTATTTTACATTGGTATGCCCGTGGTGCGGACAGACGGTCGTTCGGGCGGGCATACGGTCACGTGATTACTAAACTCAGGAGTGTTACATCTATCGTCCAGTTCAGGACGCAGTTGAAGACATACTTATTTAGGTTGAGTTTAGTTGCTTTAGGCATCGGTCGCACTTGGGAAACGTTTTCATCTTTGCCGGCTAAAAAACCACGAAACTTCGAAACCGCAACCGGAAAAGAAAACTTTTAGTCAAATCGAGGAAGGTCGCACTAGTAGTTACCAGTGGGAATTAATTGTCGTTGTTTTGACACATTGAGAACTAAAGTAGGCCAGAAACCAGAGAACATTATCTCTTTGTAGTCTGATCATTTGGCGTAGGATCGTTTTCCTCCTTTCCCAGTTTCAGGAGGATGGGAGAAATAAAGGAAATAAAGTGCTTGGCTGCAAAGACTGCATTTAGCTCGGAGAATAACAAACCTGTGACGGTACTTGCCTTGGTAGAGAGTTCCCGTAAAAAGGTTAAAATAGCAAAGGATTACAAGCTTCTGAATTGCTCGGTCGTAGAGAGTTTTCGCAAAAACGTTAAAATGGCGTAACGTAGTGGTAGCCTCGTCCGTCCACAACGAAATCGCGAAGGTCAGAAAATTTCTACGATTGTTTCAACTTGATCGTGTTTCAAATTGGTCACGTTTCGCTGACAAGTGCTGACACTTACCGCCGTGATTCCTATTGTTTAGCTCGAGTTTTCCAAAATCTGCCTGCCCCACCCAAGCAATACGGCGTCTTTGATGTTTTTTGCGATTTTCAAAGTTTTTTCCAACTTGAAAACTTGGAGTCGCACTTGGCAATGTGCCCCGATGACAGATTTTTACCGCAAGGTAAATTTGCCAAGTGCGACCCATGCCTTATTTAATTTTTATTTTATCTTGTAATAGTTTTTAACTCTAGTTTCTTACCATATTATTGTACAGCGCTTTGAGCAATTAGTGGATACCGCGCTATATAAGTAAGTATCCATAGATTACCAAATTTTCTTACCCATGGTGCTCCGCTGCGGGCTTCGCGCGCGTGGAGGTCCGCTAAAACTGTAAATAGTACTTATATCGACGTTATCAACATGGTGTGCCTGTCCGTTGGGACGGGAGAAGGGTGAAAACTGAGGGACTTGTGGAACTGGCACGTCACATAACTAGACATGCTTTTGACATACTATAGCTACGATTGGAAGCAGTAGCCCAAATATAATGCAACAATCTTGCACAAATGTAGAGCAGAAATTTCAATGTTCCATTACAATCCTATTAACAAATACTATTTCGGCTTCAACCAGTCTGTGACAAGCAAGGCAAGCATCACAAGAAGCATTAAAATCAACTTGTCGAACCTCGGGTGGGCGGAAGTTTGCTGTAGGTGCCTTCCCCAGTGTGCGTCGTGCCAGATACTTGATCTCCCCTTAGAAGCTAGGTAAAATGGAGCCCGAACTGTGGAGTGAGCATCCCTAGTATGCCCATGACCTGGGTCATCTAGGTTGACTTGTTGCTGTGAGATACCCTGAAGACATTCTTGCGCCAACGCTTTCGGGTGATGATCACTTGGGTAAGAAATGGAATAGATCTCTAAAGCTCTGTTCAAAAATCTGGTTGCATCATCAAGTACAAAGCAGTGCTCATGAACCAGGCCAAGGTTGAGAAAACTGTCGCCAACTTTACAATGCTCGCTTCCTAAACTTTTGATTCTGATGTCACATGCTCGGAAGTGAAATTCCTTGGCCTTCTCTAGTTCACCCTGTTCCATACACAGCTGACCGAGATTGTCTAGTAAGTCGGCGGTCGCCGGATGTTCTGAGGGCAACACTTTCTCTCTGATGCACAACGCCGCTTCAAAACAATGCATTGCCTCTTCAAATTGACCCATCCCCTTATGCATTATGCCAAGGTTGTTGTAAGATTCAGAGATCAAAAAATGATTCGGAAAGTAAAGTTCCTTTCTCATCTCAAGGGCCCGGTGGTGGTACTGAAAGGCTTCATCTGTTAAGCCTAATTCACTAAACTCAATTCCTAAATTACACAAAGTGTCAGCAACGCAGCTATGCATTTTGCCGAACATCCTCTCTTCTAACTCCAGTGATCTTTGGTAAAAGTCTTTTGCACTTTGGTGGTCACCCAGTGTGCTGTAGACACATCCAAGGTTATTAAGGCAAGAAGCAACAGTGATATGATCTGTACCAAAAATCCCTTGTCTGATTTCTAGAGATTTGTTGTAGTAATCTTTGGCCTCTTCAAAGTGACCATCACTGAAGGAAACGTTTCCAAGTTTGATCAGAGAATCCGCAATATCTGCAGTTGGCTCAAGTGGATTTAGGCTTTCAAACAGAGCCAGGGCACGCTGATGGTGGACTGTAGACTTCTCAAACTTGCCTTGCATGCAAAGCACATCACCTAGACAGTTTAGAATGGTTGCCTTCACTTTACTTCTGTCTACATCATTACTTTCCCCTTCTTTAATGGTGATCTCGAGGGCGAGTTCAAAATACCTCTCTGCTGGAAGAAGATAGTCGTGTACAAGGCATATGTGGCCAAAATTAAGTAATGTGTTTATGACCTCTTTGCTTTGGTCGCTTGACACATCAAGAGGTGACCTCAAGTTACTGCTAAACAGTTTCAAATGAGGGGCAATCATTTTGGAAAAAAAGTGAAATTCAAGGTCTTGCTGGAGAGGAATGTGTTGTACAAGAGGAGATAATGTCTCGATGTACGTTTTGGTTAGAACTGTAAACTCCTCTATACTGAGCTTGTCAAGAATGTGTCTTTTAAAGACATCATGGACAACCTTATGCACACCTATACGAGTTCCTGGAGCATTGTCTTGGATGAACGAAATCAGCAATGAGCATTTGGCGATGTCAGCAGCGGTTATGTCCTCATCGAGAGCTGGGTCTTGTTTTGTAACAAAACTAACAATAATACCAAGGTCAATAGGTTCTGGTGCACCTAAACCCATAAAAGGAACGACATGCCGGAACACTTCATCTTGGACCAACTTTTCAACTGCTATGGTGATGGCAGAAGTCATGGACAACGGGTACGCACTGTTTACCCTTTGAAATTTCTTCTCGGTCAAATGTCTCTTTCCCATTTTCACTTTCTTCAGGTAATTCTTCCACGTGGAATTTCCTACTGAAGTAGTATACAAAACGTAGATTGCTGCACAGGCAATGGCTAATGGCTGAAAATCTAGTTCCTCAACAACAGAATGTTCTTCTTCCTTATTCTCACTGGAAAAACCACAGATCGACCTAAGAAGAAATAATGCATCGTCCATGTTCATTCCTTCACTTAAAGAAATATCTTTGCAAGAAAGGTCAGCAAACGGCAAATTGATACTGTCTTGGGTGGTAACAAGAAGTTTCCCAACTCCGTGCCACTGTTCATCGGGCCAGCAGGCCATCAGGCTGTCCAAATCATTAGCATTGTCAATTATCACCAGCCATGTGGAATAGTCCTTTACTTTGGTCAAAACAAGCATTTTAAGATGGGAGATTCTTTCATCGACCTTCAAATTGGAGTCTGTTCCAGTAATACTTCTAAGTGTGTATTCTGTAACACCAAGTTCACGGGCAAACTTAAGGTATGAATCTAGCATAGACTGCTTACTTTCTCCATTCAAGGTCATTACAAATGTACAATTGTCTTCGTCAAGGTTGAGAATTGCTTCTTCATAGACCTTTTTTCCCACGTCACGAGCAATCTGACTTTTACCACATCCTGGATTTCCATGGACATAAACTGATACAATCGAGGCATCATCATTGTCATTCCGAAGTTCAGTAAACATTTGCAGAATCTTGTTAGTTTCCGACTTTCGCTCAACGACCTCGTGGGATGGCTTTGGTGGGAGACACATGAAGGATTTGGGTTCGCCTAACTCTTCCTCTAAAGCTTTGACTTTTTCTTGAAGCTGTTGAAGCTCTTCAGTTGGAAAGCTCTTTTGACTGCTGATGTTTTGTAACTGTTTGGTGTCCAGATGCAAAGCCATAAACGCATTTGTCACTATTGTGACACTGGCCCGAAAGTCAGTTTCCAAAATATGGGCTTGAGAAGAGTGTGCAAAAACAGTATTGCGAAACCCTCTTAGTACCTCAACTTGAGAGACAACTGTCGGGCTTAGCCGAGGCCGAAGCGAGTCCGAATACAGAATTGCGAAGAAAAAACACGTCGAATCCCATTCCTCTGTGTTTCCGTTTTGTATGATTTTTAAAAGTTTGATATTTCTGCGCTTGCTTCTTGAGGATTCCATATTGAAAAAGTCGTGTCCGTTTTTTGCGGTGTCTTTCCATGTACCCAATATGCTTCCATGCACTCTGTTCCATTCCTGTTTAAACACTGCTTCTAGACCATCTCGGATAATGCTGGTGGTGATGTAGCAGACCCGGAAATAGTTGAGCTCTTCTGTTGTGTATTCTTTGTCACACAT